TTGGAGTTTTTCGATACTTGGATTACTACAATTCGTTCAAGAAATATTATCATTCTTGGTGACTTTAACATAAATACACTTTCAAATGACAAACACTCTATAGCACTAAAGCAATCTATCAAAAATAATCAAATGTATATTTTCAACAGTACACCAACAAAAATTGACTTTCAAATTGTACTCTTATTGAAACTAATGAAAAAGAAAAACTTTCTGATCATGAATTGATAACTTGTAAATACTCTACACTAGACAAGCTAGTTATTTTCATAAAAGCAGCCAATGCAATAGAGCAGGACAGAAGTCATTGTTTGTGTTTATCGTTAGCTGCAAAATAAAAATTAAAAACTAAATGCAATTTAGTTTTAAGTTTTATTTACGTGGTATTACTATTTTTTAATACTTTTTCGCATATCTTTCAGCCATCTTGAAAATAATTGTTTTTTTTTGTAAGACGTTTTTTGTGAGAAGGTTTTGATATCATTCTGATATCACATTGATATCGCGTCTTGACTGTGTACCATGACAATAGATATTTTTTATAAAAATACTCCAAATTATCTATAACATCTAAAAAAATAACATTTATCAAAATTAACATTTACAATAATGATCTCTTAACAAATGTAAACTATAAGCAAACATTTTGTCAGTCCAGATAAACTAATTGCTATTTGGACTTGTGTATAATAGCCAAGTGGGCCCTGGGAATTTATAAATTTTGGGCCCCTTTAAATAATAAAAAATAAGGCACTTATGCCCAAAAAGAAAGCGCATCTGAGAACCCTAGTACTAACTGAACTTTGAAAATAAAAGTCTTAATCAAAATTATATTGTCTAGAACAAAAACACTAGTTTGAACAATTAAGAAATTCTGAAATTGGCAAATGGCAGGTACAAAAATAAAAATACAAGTTTAAATAATTAAGAAATTATTTGTTTCTTTCTTATTTTTGAATCTGCAAATTGATTGATGATGCTTCCTGTAGCCAACTCATCAAATACGTTATTTACAATTGCAAGAATGGCTAAATTTTGCAGTCTCTCTTGCTGCATTGAACTTCTTAAATAACTTTTTACTCTTTTCAGCACAAAAAAGCTTCTTTCACCTGAACAATTTGAAATCATCATCAATAAATATATTTGGAGGACAGTTTCCAAATTAGGAAAAACTTAATGTAAATTTAACTTTTCAATAAATTTAAACATCTGTAATTCAATTGACACATCTTTCACTAAGTCTGGCACATTATCAAAAAAAAAATGTCTAAAATGTAATAATTCGTCAGCCAAATCCATATTAATATGATCTTTGTGTACAACTTCTGCGGTGCTCTGTGATAAGACCGTGCGGACTTCTTGGGGCACCTAAATCAACATTAAAAAAAAAAAAAAAAAAAAAAAAAAGATTTGCAAGTTATTAGCAGCTGTTGAAGTTTCATGAACTGTCAAATTATTCAATTTATTTAAGAAGCCGAATGAACAACCCAATTCAGCATAAGCGTTTTGCCTATTTGTTAGTTGTGCTTTTAATTTATCAACACATACAAGAAATTTGTTTTATATGATTTACACGAAATTCATCATACTGAGAAACCAATTCTAAACATCCAAACAAGGCCGGCGCGATAGGGGTGTGTGTGTGTGGGGGGGGGGGGGGAGTTAGACAGTCGGCAAATATCGTAATGGCAGTCGGCAAAATTTGGAAAATGAGGACCTTTTTTTTTTTTTTAGTCGGCAAAAGTTGTAATGGCACCCCCCCCCCCCCATTACAACTCCAGATAATTACCATTTTGAGTAGAACCAAACCTCTCTACAGAACCCCTTAAATGAAGCCCTCTAGATGTTAAAAATTTTATCACATCAGCTATCCTCAAGAGTTTCTTTTTCCAATAAATTATTTCAGTACACATAAAAATAAAGGTTCAATTTTTTTCTAAGTTAAAAAGTGCTATCATAGTCTCATTATGCTGTTTGGAATTTTCGTGACGGCAGAAATCACGCTCTGCATGTTTCCAATCTTGTTTTCCAATCTGCCAGACAAATAATTGTTTGATTGTTCTCCTACGCTAAATACTACACAAAGGATGCAATATACTTATCCTTTCACTGGGCAATAACACATATATTTTCATAGAATCTTTTGTTTATTTTCTTTAATAAGGCAAAATATTGATGATTGAAAACATCTTATCTGCTTTCCAACAGTTTGGAAAAATCGCAATTTTTATGCTGGAAGTTTTCTGTGCCATTGTCAATTATATATCTTTTCTTGATTTCCTAATCTTTATTCCAAGCACATCAAAGAAAACAATATCAGCTAAATCAGTATCACGAGTATCCATATGATTTCTTTTGTTAAATTCATTTTAAACTACCATTCCAACACACGATTCATTAGTAGTGACATCATCACAGACAGCCTCACCAGCCCGAGAGAATGATGGCACTAATGATGTATCTAGTTGGGTAGCTGATATTGAAAAAAAGGAGTAAGTGATGAGGCAGCTTTAGTAATAGATGTTGATAATTCTTTTATCCCTGCAAGGGGCGAATTAAGTGATCGTGAATTGAAAATTCCGTAAAAAATTTTGGTGTTTAAATTTTTAGTTTCTTACGAATGGTCCGAAAAAAACCCGCAAAAATGGTTTTCAAGAAAAACAAAATTTGAAAACCAGAAACTTTTACGGAATTTTCAATTTGCGATCATTTAATTCGCCCTTTGCCCTGACAGTGATCTAGTATCACAAGTTGCATTTGAGGATGTTTCTAAAAAAGCAACATTATAACCCATTATAGGTAAGTTAAAGGAACATGAACAATGAACAGCATAATAAATATCATAAAAAATTTACCCCAAAATTTGCTTATCTTTTGACATTTTGCTACATCTTCATTCATTTTCTTTTGTTTTTCAGCTTTTAATTTTCTTTTTATTGATTCACTTTTTATTTTAACCGTACTTCCTTTATACGAAATATATAAAAAAATGTAACAATAGAAACTAAAAAATAATTATTAGTTATGAAAAAAATCTTCACCTTTTACTTATTTTTGAAAACGGAGCAATATAATATAAACAAAACCATTTACTTTTAAAAAGAGATTTTTCAAAAAATTTAAATCAGTTTTTTGAAAAATAATACAACTTTCAACTTAAACCACTATTTTTAAAAAAATATATTGGCATTTGATTCAAGCAAAACCATTTACATTAAAACAAATAGACTTTACGAAAGTTTGTTATTTATTTGCTACCATTTTTATTTTTTTCCATACAAAATAAGCGCGCTTATATCGCGCAAAAAGCGCAACATGACTTAGGCTAATAAAATATTAAAAAGTGACATTTTTTTTAAGGGCTCCGAGGGCCCTACGGAAGTTTAGGGCCCTGGGACTTAAGTCCCCACGTGAAGCCAGCACTGCCTGGTAGATAATGAACCAATATAAAATGCTTCCTCCTCAACCAAATCATTAGGATTTGCTTTTTTTTTTTTTTTTTTTTTTTTTTTTTTTTTTTTTTTTGTAAAAGGACACTTAATTTCCATTAATAGGCTTTGATACGTATAACATAGGTCCATCTGTACTTGCATCGAGCCAAGGAATGCATGCTTTCAACTATTTTAATATTTTTGTAATATCTATAAAGCATTTGATGATTTATAGATGTAGATTAATGGAAGTTAAAATCCTCTTTATTTGAGGCGCGACTGTCTGGGTAGCAGGTGCGAATCCTTAATGGGGAAGTTTTTTTATTTTTTATTTTGATGTTTATAAATTACTTTAACTTGTATAAAAAAATTATAAAGTTAAAATAAACAAGAATTTTATGTGAAATCGCCAAAATAATGTTTAAATACGCGTGTACAACTAAGTTGTACGAGCGCATTTATGTCAGAAGAATAGCCATATACCGTCAACCGGGGTAACTTTTTTAAATATAAAATGTTTGGCTGTTTCTTTAAAAGCAACTCAAAATGCTTCATTTTGTGTTGCACTCTAACACTCTAACAATGATGAACATAAAGACATGCTGGTTTTAAGCTCTTCTATAGACTATTACCTTAAATAAACGGTTTGAAAATCAAAAAATCAAGTTCGGAAAACGGGGTAACTCCGGACGCTTAATGATAGGGTTTTAAAAGTTGAATTTCTAACTTTAATGAGTTCAGCATTATCTTAGTAACATGTAGCTTAGTAGCATGCATTTTACTATGGCAAAAAGCTGTTTCATTTAAAGAGAACAGTCCTATTTTATATAACAGAACAAAAACAAAACTATTGATAAACTAACTATTTCAAATATACTTATATATAATAAATAATAATTAAGAATCAATATTTTTTATTAGGATTATACATTTAAACTATGCATTACTTTAAAGTAACTTTAAAGTAATGCATAGTTTAAACAACTGTTAGGTGAGCTTCAACTTGTAAAAGCTCACTCTTAATATGAACTTATCGGGTATTACCTTGTTAAAAGTCTAATTGAAAACTCTCTTGATGAGCTTCAGTTTACCCATACCTGTGAAAATTAATGTATTCCTGTCTTATAGGTATTAATTGGTATTAATGTCTAATTGGTATTCTTCTCTCTCTCTCGGAAATAGAAAATATTAGTACTTAAGTTGTTGACTGACATAATATGTATAATATAACATAAAATGAATTATTGTACTAAACCATAACACTAAAAGAAGCTATAAAATAAAAAACTCCTCAAATATAATCTTCAATCAAATATGTGACATATTTGATTGAAGATTTTAATTGAGGAGTTTTTTATTTTATAGCTTCTTTTTGTGTTGCGGTTTAGTATGATACTTCATCGTTTGCATTATAATAATTTTTACTCCATGTTTTTTGTATTTTAGACTAGAAAAAAATTATCAACCTTATCATTGTTTGCTGCCCAGATATTTTTCAGCCAAATTATTTTGTACTAAGGGAGAATGAGGACACTTGACTCTTATGGAAGACTAGGTACATAAAAGTTATGGAAATACTAAAACCATCACATTTTAAATTAATAGAATTAGACACCCAATAACTTTAGACAGTAGTGGTATACATCATATTTGACAGATAATCAAAGGGCAGGTGGTTTAGTATTTGGGGCTGCATGAACAAAACTTTTGTAAGTTTTAATTTTGACTTAAGTATTCCTTTATCAAAGTTTATGGTTTTGGAAGAATCACTACTAATGTAATTTGTTACTGTGTAAAAAGTAACATAAAGTGAAAGAAATTTTTTTTGTCATAAAGCGTTATAAACTTAAATTTAATACTAAATCCCTTGATTAAGTATTCCCTAAGATAAGGATATTTTTCTTAAATTTTTTTTTTTTTTTGGTCAGAATTCAATATGCCCAGAATATATAAGATGAGAGGTACTCCGATAAGAAGATAAAGAAAATATAAAATTAGTTATGAATTAAATTTTAGAAGGAAAAAGTCTTTTTGGAATTGCTAAAGATCACAGAATTTCAATTCTGTGATCTTTAGCAATTCTCACAAATCTCAAAAAGCATGTTAGAAAAAAAATAAATTCTATTGCTAGTAGAGTTTATCTTTTTTCTAACATGCTTTTTGAGAGTCAGAATTAAAATTCCATTAGTAGAAAACCAATAGTATTGCTGAAATTCAAAATTGGAATGTTCCAAATTATAGACACAAGTATTTTCTAATATAGAAGAGAAAAAATTAGTTAACTTCCTGAAAGTGGCAAGTAAACTTTATCATGGACTAGCCCTAAAAATAGTAAGACATCTAGCATATCAATATGCATGTGAAAAAAAGAATTTTTTAGCTAAGTGAGCAGAATATGAATCAGCAACATATGGCTTGTTGCGTGGATTCATGAATTATAAAGATTTATCAATACGCATTCAAAAAGCAACTAAGTTTTGGTTCTGAGCAAATTTGAAATGTAGATAAGACAGGTAATAAGCAAAAAAACATACCTAACAATTGAATCAATTATTTTGACTATTTCACCTTATATGTACCAAAAATTTATAACCTATAGACTGTATAATATTTAGGACAATGAAATCATATTATAACATAGTATGTGATGGTTAAATGATCTCTCATACATACTCCAAAATGCACTTCTGCTAACAACAGATAGTGATAGGGAATTCAACTCAGTAAATATTATGAATATAAATTAGGAACATGTGGCTTTTACAACACCAAGTTCAGTAGCAAATTGTGATAAGTCTAACTCTAATACTGCTAATCAGTTCCTTCAAAATCGGCATTTGTAAGTCCTGCAACTATAAAACCTTACTTAAAAACTGATCTAAGAAAAGGCATCACAAGAGGAAGAAAGAAAAGAAGCACCAAAATTTTGACAGACACATCCGAAAAACTAGCAATTGAATACAAGTGGAAAGCAAGACAGCAAAAGAAACAAAAGTATTCACTAAGTTAAAGTAAAATCAATAAAGTGTAACTTTAATTTAAAAAAAAAAAAAAAATTACCTGCTCCATAAATGAAGTTGTCATAGAAGAGAATCAAACAGAGTTGTCATCAAAGAGAATTATTATTATTAAGTTCATTAAAATTGGGAATTCATTAAAAAGTTTAACATTGAGTAAATGAATAGTAAAATTATGAAAATGTTATTGTATTTTTAATAAATTTTTGAATAAATTTTCAAGATATTTTGAAATTATATTGTGACACCAATTTATTTAACTTGATCTTATTACATTGTATTATTATATACTATGCTGTTGATCTTATTATATAAATTATTGTATTAAATATCAACCCAAAAGAAAAGTATTATAAAACAAAAAAGCATTATAAAACATAATTGTTTTTTTGTTTTATATCAATTTTATATCAATTATATCAATGGATTTAGGTAAGAGCCATTATAAGATAATAGTGTTTAAGATAATAAAATTATGTTAATTTGTAGATTGTTCTGTCAGTTTATTAAGCGATTAAAGAGACTAGATTTATGCAAAAAACCTTTAAAACTTTATAGGAAATGTTTTGTCTTCCATTATTAGGGGATAATTGATCCTCCTTAAGCAAGTTATCTATAGGGATACCTTAGGATGACCTTATTAGAGAGATCATGTATCTCATACATTTGGATCATGTCTCCCATACATAAGAAGACTTAATACAATTCCTTTTCTCTACTTTGTGTGAACTAATCACAAAATCTAGAGACTATTTTAAAAAACTTAAATTTCAATTTTATTGAATATATTTTTTTAAAAATCTGATTTTCTAAAATTGGAATTAAAAAGTTAAAAACAAAAGGGGTGATCAATAGTCTACAATTTTTCCTACATAAATTTTTTATGATAATTTAAATTGTAACAATTAAAATTTAATTTTTTGTACATTTTTCAAGTTATTTATAAAAGTAAGTTATATAAAAAAAAAGTTCCATATAAAGTTATTTTAAAAGATTAAAATATTTAAAATTTTAGAAAAGAAAGCATTAGAAATTAATTATACATTGGCATAAACTTTCATATGCTGATCATTTATAACCCTTCAATATGCCAAAATACAACACACAACAATACTACTACAAATACACAACAATACAAATACAACACTAAGCTGTCATAAAAAATTTAGAAAAAAGAAGATGCCAATAAAAATCCTGTAGTTATGTCAGGGGCGGCTTTTGTCACTTGACAAGGAGGAGGCTAAAAAGGTCTTTAAAAAAAAGGTCAGCATAATTTCATTTATAAGTAACTTTCTTTTTTTACTTCAATTTTTTGTGCTTTAGTGTAATAATCAAGTTCATATACATATAATTACATATTATAGTCAATTTTATTCATCAGTATAGTAGTCCAATTCTGTATAATAGTCAATTTACAAAAGAATATTTCTGAAAAAAAGTCCCAAGGGGAGGGGTGGCTACTACCCCATGGCCCCCCTAAAACCCACCACTAAGTTATGTGGAAAGTAATCAGAAAATGAAGCATGAAACTTACTACCAAATTATGTAAACTACACATTAATTAAAAGATTGTTTTAAACAAAGACATCATTTTACTAAATAAAATAAGCAAAACTATATTGAAATGTTAACATCGAAACCAATTCCTTCTTTCTCCACACAAAATATCAAAAATCAATTTTTTGGGTCAGAATTCATTCCAATGTTTAATTTGTATTTTTATAAAGGTTTTTAATTTCCTGATTTAAATACACAGCTGATGATTGCTGCCAGGCATGAAACTTTTAGTTCCATCAAAAAGTTGTTTTTTCATTTGAATAATTATTAAATATTTCAAATCTATTTTGAAAAACATTTATTTTTATAATATTGATCACTGTTAAATGAACCATTTTTTTTACATCATTACACAAATGATTTTTATGTACATAATTTGAAAAAAAAAAGTTATATATATGTATATATATATATATATATATATATATATATATATATATATATATATATATATATAATATATATATATATATATATAACAATAAATTACACTTTAAGCTAACTTAGATTGGCAGTCTAAGGCTTCCTAAATCATATTGATTTAGGAAGCTGCGAGGTTTTTAGTACATATATTAACTGATATATGGAAAATGTACAAGGGAGTTGTTGCTACTTCTGCTGAGGGTTTATGTAAGAGCAGCAAAAAGTTTTTATCATTACTTTATGTTTTTTTATCTAAATAATCAGTTGATGTATGTAGTGAAGCTTTAAAAGTTAACTATTTCAGTATGACATCATATATGTTAAGGTAGTGTTAAAATTTTTTTTATTTTTAATTGGTGTTCTCCGACCTCTAAATATTTTTTATAAATAAAATGACATTTATAAAATTAGCTTTAACAAATTAAAAAATTTTAGGTTTTGCTTTATTAAATATTCAAAAAGGCCTTTCAATATTGACAAAAAAAATTCTTTAAATTTATGTCAATTTACAATTGACGTAAATTTAAAGAATTTTTTTTTGACAATATTGAGACTAATTAAGTCTTTGATTACTAAATCTAGTATTTTATCAATGTAGTTAGGTTCTAGAGACCTTAGAAAAATCTTTCACTTAGAAAGACAAATTTAACATCTCTAATACCTGAGTCTAATCTTATTACCTCTCTTAGTGATAAGGCAGAATTATTTACAAAGAACATTTCCTCTAATTTTTTTCATTAATCTAAGGAATACTTTCTTCCTCTCATGCCAAAATAGGCTTTTGTTGCTTAAATCCTGCTTTTGTTGCTACTCGTGAGTCCTTAACACAAGGAGTAAGGTGTGGGGTGGCAGAGAAGTTTATTAATTTTTGGAAAGTTTTCGCACACCACCTTAAGTTTATCAAGACCCCTTAGTCATAATGGAATTCTTTTATTTAGTTTTAGTATTTTGATATTTCCTTGAAATGCATAAAAGAATAAGTTCACCCCCCCCCCCCCCACATTTATTAGATCTAAACTAAAATTTCTACCCCCTCCTTACCCCCTTATTTTTAAGGACTCAAGAGTAATGTTATACTTTTTATAAACTTTTCTACAGTCATAGCATTTCTGCCATAGTCATACAAATACGTTTTCCATAATTTATTTCAATACTCTTTAAACTATTTAAAAAATGTTTAGCTAAACTTGTTTTCCTTCTTGATGAAAATTGACATCAGCATTTCCAATTAAAAAAAAAATCTGATTTAAAAAGAATTTGATATTTAAAAAATGAGATCACATTTTTTAAATATCAAATTCTTTAGTAACCAAGATTGAGCCTCTGATCCATTGTCATGGTTGCATCTGTTTTTCTTTGGTTGTTTTCTTTTCTACAAATTATACCATAGTTGTTCGATCAAAGCGAGCTATCATCAATTATTCTATCAAAAATCATACTCGCATGACTTGTTATTCAGGAAAGTCTTTTTACTGTTACTGTTCAATCATGCTTAAAATTTTTTTTCCTTTGGAATTCTCTCCTGTCTTCATGTTTTCCTTACTCATGTAGTTTATGTCTTCTTGGAAAACACCAAGTCTAAAATTACTCTAATGTAAGTATAAAATGATATAATATACTAAAAATACACTTATAGTGTGTATATTCTAATAAGAGGTATCCACTGCTATTTATATAAATGTATATTTTAATGAGAGGTATCCATTGTTATATAATGTATAAATGTACATTTTTTATAGTTTGAAAATGAGTATTGTTATAAAAAATCTACAGAAAGCTGCTATAATTAACACATGGCAAGTTCGAAAAGATTTAATTACACTTCGAAATATAATGGGTCTTCAGTCATTTGATGTTGGTCTATTATTTCTTTCAAAAAACAAAATGCGTGAACTAAATTATGCACATAGAAAAATTGATGAAGCAACAGATATACTTTCTTTTCCTTTTCATCAATCTTTAACAAATGCAGATATTTCAAAAATGAATTTAGAAGAAAAGAACTTGGGAGATATATTTTTATGTCCACAGTTAATACGTCGGAAATATGATGTTCATGACTTTGAATTACGTTCAGTGTTTGTCCCTCTTTTAACACATGGTCTTGTTCATTTGTGTGGTTATGCACACGAAACAGAAGAGCAGTATGAATTAATGCATGCAAAAGAACTTGAGATTTTAAAAAGATTTGAGAAATATTCTGGCAAACAATTTTTACCATTATAAATACTTAAAAAATAGTTTAGTATCATAATATAATGTTTAAAATTATAAAACCAATTTAATAATTAATATTTCACTTGTTGTTTTTGTTATTAAAATTTTTTGTTATATGTTTTTAAATATGTTTTGAAAATAGTTCTGAGAAAAAATGTCATGATTGCAAGTTTTTTAATCTTATTTGTTACTGCATATTTTCAAAATTGTTATATTTTATTTACAAAGTATACAAATTACATTTATCTTCTTGTTCTTTTTTTTTATTTTTTTTTTAGAATCAATTTAAATGTCTTTGGAATCATCTTTCTTTGCGGAAATTATCACTAATAAATCTCCAAACAGTGTAGAGTTTTTTCACCAACAAGAATCAGGCCCTGTTCTGCTTGCATACACATGGGATAACTATGTTACAATTTGTGTTTTACACTTCCCTGAACTTGAGCATGATATACCTGAGTTTACTTATGAAAATCTTACAGATATCGATCATGGTTCTTCCGCTACAAAGATAGCATGGAGCCCAAAAACCTCAATGTTGATGCACCCAGTTGGAATTGTGTATGTTTTGTGTAAAGTTTTGATGTCCACAAAACATGTTGTTTTTTTTGTTTACTATCAATAGCACTAGAGTGTTTTTACTATAAAAAAATAGAACTTAAGAAAATACTATGTTTTATATATATACAGTATATAATTAGTAGCAAAAGTCTAAACATATTCAAGTTTAGAAAAACAAAATTAGATTTTTGGCTGCTGGTTTTTAACAGGATGAATTACAGAAGAATAGAATCTGCTAACAAAGCAAATCGTTTTATTTTACTAAAATTAATTTTTATTCATAATGGTTAAAAAGAAAAAATTTAAAAACATAATTAGCATTCAGAAATCTAGATTCAAGTAACTATGACTTGGTTTTAGTTTTTATTGCTTTGATAAATTCTGGCTTAACCAATATCTTTTAGCTTTAACTCCAGACTTTTACTTCTTGGGTATTAAAATAATACAATTACTCTAGGCCCCAGTTTTGTTTGAAAATTTATTTTTACTTATAAAATGCTATTGTATCATTAGAATAAGAACTGAATAATTAAAAAGGAATTGAAATACATACTCTTTAAAAACAATGTAGTAAGTGGAAAAAAAATAGTTTTGCAAATTCATCACACATCTTGTATTTAATTTTGCATTTTTGTAATATCCTTGTGAAACTACGCAGCTGAGTAACTTATGTCTGATGCAAATATTATCTAATACCTTTTTTAAGTACTATTGGGTTTTTTTTTTTTTTTTAGGTTTGCTACTATTGGATTAGATTGTAGTTTAAAGTATTACCAAGTCAATAATAAAATGGAAGTATCTGCTAAGGTAATATCTTAAATAGTTGACAGAAAAGGTTTTTATGTTTTCTTTGTTGTTATTAGTTTTTTTATTTATTGTTTCTCTATGTGTTTATATATATTTAAAAATTTCCACTGGTAAAATTTAATCCACATTTTAAAGCAATGTGACTTTTAAAGATCTAAAGCAAAAAAAAAGCAACAAATTGCACACAAATGTATAGATTTTTAGCAGGCTTCAGTTTTGGGTCTAAAACATTAATTATCAAACATTAAGCCCAAATCTAAATTAATTCTTTAAAAAAAAATGCCATTGCAAATTTTAGTCTTTTTGTCAGAAGATTAATATTTACAATTGCAAATAAGTAAAAAAGAAAGTCGAATTTGCATAAAATGCTTATCCAAAAATGTATTTTATAAATGCATTGTCTATTAAAAGAGAAAACTTATAGAAATTATGTTAATTTAACTAATGGAAAATGGTAAAAAAATGTTTTACCGACCAGTTGTTTTGATTTAAACTTATTGATTTAAATCATAATTTAAATCAGATAAATATATATATATATATATATATATATATATATATATATATATATATATATATATATATATATATATATATATATATATATATTATTCATAAAATTTGTTATATTGATTTTTAAATTTATTTTAAGAATTTTTTTTTAAGTAAATATTTAAATAAAAATTTTGTTTCATATTTTTACATTTTTGTTGCTAATTATTTAATAGATTTAAATATATTCCTCTCATATAGGAATAATTATAATTATTATATTCAAGTTTACTTTTTTCAAAAAATTTAATAAAATAAATTGTTTATTTATAATTACTATTTACTTTTTAGTTGAAAATAAATACAATATAGCTTAAAATAAAAATAATATTTGGTGCTATTCGAATAAGATATGCTGGTAGGAGAAGGTAGAAGAAGAAATATTAGCAAATTTCCAGAAAAAGGGTAATAAAGCAAAGACTCTGGTGTGCAAATGCAACGTTTATTAGCAAAAAATTAGAAAACACAAAACTGTTGATATTATTTTGAAAGATGTTAAAGGTGATGAGAACATTAATTTTCGTCAAGACACTGTAAAAAACATCAATTAGACAATTGAGGAAGCACAAACTAGTAAATCTTCTGTTGAAAAAACTGAATCTAGTCAATCTACTGTAGATAAAGCACATTTTTTGGGTTTATATAAGAAGACATTGGCAATAAGAAGCAGTGACAAGATGGTGTCAGTTAAATTGGATTCATACCTTATTAAAACCACAAAATCTGAAAAAGAAGCAATCAATGAGCAAATAGCAAGAATAATTTATGTTACTAACTTTCTTTTCAGAATAGTTGACCACCAAGAATTTATCAAATGATCTGTTTTGTTTGTTTAGGATATAACCCTTCTAATAAAATTAATATTGGTAGAAAATTAATAGATACTTTCTGTAAGAACAGTCTAACTACCTGTTTATGTTTGCTTCATGATCAGTTTGTAACCATAAGTATTGATAAGTGGAGCAATGTCCATAATGAATCAGTAGTTTGTGCAACAGTATCAACAATAAATTTAGATATCTATCTTGCTGATACAGTTGATACATCTAGTCATTCACATACTTCTGACTATTTGTTCTATGTTGTTCTGTTTGACTATGATGCTCTTGTTAATTTTATAAATAAAGGTAAAAACAGTTTGGTTGTAAAGTTCACAGTGTAGTAACTGATAAGGCAACAAATGTTTATAAAGTGAGACAACAATCGTAAACTCAAGATGATGTTAATTTTATAAAATATAGATGTTCAGCTCATATGCCTAACCTATTAGCCCAAGATTTAGCAAATCCGAATATCAAGGACCAGGTGGTTCAAGTTGTTAAACATTTAAGAAACAACCATTTTGCTGCTGCAACATGGAAAGCAAATGGGGGATTATGACTGAAAATGTCCCAAGATGTCACATGGACATTATATCTAAAACTATTGTCAGGTCAGGTTTATCCTGCTACTGGTAACATGTAACCCAGTACAATCTGCTTCATGTCCTGCTGCCTTGTAGGATATGCCTTTTTAGGCAAAGGCTAGGAGATGCAAACTCCGACATAAAACACCCCCTGCCTTGGGGGTGTTTTATGTCTCACCTCACCTAAAGACAAAGGCTAGAGATGGTGTCTCGATAAAAATACTCATCTTGGGCAGATGTTACATGCATCCGGCTGCTGTCTTGTAGAAGGCCTCCTAGGCAAAGACTTAAGTGGTAAACAGATTCTATCTGTTGACCAGCCTCGCACCCCTTCGTCATCTATTAGGCTGGCGCAGATGTATTTTTAATACATTGTTTCCAGTTTAGGATGTTGAACGCTGGATCTTCTTGACTCGATTCATGGGTTTTGCTTGTGTCTCTGTTTTTATGACTAGGCAACTCATTCTATTATCTCCAAATGAGGGTACAGCTCTAAAACTCAGTTTTATGGTTCTGAGGCCGGCTGGTAGTCAGGTTTCCCGAACTCTGTGGTAGCTCTCAGAGAGGCTGGTTCCATCAACAGCTGAAAAATATCAGAGTACTAACAGTGCCATGTTCCGCATGGATGGTGTCCCTGTTTGTACTTTTGGTGTGCATTGCCAAGGCTACATTGGAGCCCTTTGTTACGGCTTAGGGTTTATTAGTGGAAATGAGGCAATTGCTTGAGCTATAGAACAGTGTACTGAGTACTATCAATCTTTCGAGCCAAGTTCTTTAACAAATTTAAAAATGAATAAAGTAACAAAAACTATAAAACACAAAAAACCACAGTCATCACCAAGTTCGCTAAACCTATCATTCACCAATATTCGTGGTCTTGGAAGTAACTTTTCTTCTGTTGAGTCTTATCTCTTGCAAAGTTCACCAGACCTACTTGCTCTTTGTGAGACTAATTTGAGTTCAGCTGTCTCATCTTGTGATCTTAGTGTTGATGGTTATCTTCCTTTAATTCGTAAAGACTCCAATAGTCACATGCTTGGCCTGGGCATTTACATTCGTAAGAATTCACCCATTTGTCGGGAAACTAGGTTTGAATCCACAGACTACTCTTTTATGTGCTTTCGTTTAGCACCACTTCACTCTATCACGTTTCTCTTTGTTCTATATTGCTCTCTCTCATCCCAAGACAGCACTCTTCTTGATGTTATCTTTATCCATCAGCCAATATTGTTGTTGTCGGTGACTTTAATGTTCATCACACTGAATGGCTTGGCTCTAGTGTCAGTGACTCTGCAGGCATTAAGGCCCACAACTTTTGTCTTTCTCAATCCCTAACTCAAATAGTCAACTTTCCAACTCGCTTTCCAGACAACCTGAATCATTTACCTTCTCTACTCGACTTATGTCTTGTTTCTGATCCTAGTCAGTGCTCAGTTTCTTCACACTCACCCTTAGTGTGCCTTCACACTCACCCTTAGTGTTTCTTCACACTCACCCTTAGGTGCGTCTGATCATGGTTTAGTCTCTCTAAAACTATTATCTCATTCTTCTTCACCATTAGAATCCCCCTATCATCGTACATCTTACAACTACCTTAAAGCTGACTGGGACTCTTTTCATGACTTTCTTCGTGATGGCCCCTGGGTAGAAATCTTTCGTCTCCCTGTTGACAAATGTGCTTCTTACATAATTTCGTGGATTCAGGCTGGCATGGAATCCTTTATTCCCTCTCGACGATTCCAGGTCAAGCCTCACTCTTCTCTGTGGTTTTCTTCACATTGTGCTGCTGCAATTGCCAATCGAAACCATTACTTCCATATTTATCAGCAAAACAATTCTCCAGAAAACAGACGTCTCTTTATTACTGCTAGGAACCATTGTAAAAAGGTTTTGTCTAACGCCAAAACCCGCTATTCTCAGATCATGAAATCTCGTATTTCATCACAAAAATTAGGCTCTCGTGACTTCTGGAGAATCTTTAATAGTATCAATAATAAGGGCAAGTCTGTAATTCCACCTCTTTTGTACGGTTCAGACTTTGTCACCTCACCTAAAGACAAAGCTGAATTGTTTGCCAAGAACTTTTCATCAATATCATCTCTTGATGCCACTAGTTGCGTTCTACCTGATATAGTCGTCAAACAGGTTGATCCATTGCTCAACATTCGTATCACTCCAGCTTCTGTATCTAAAGTTATTTCCCGCTTAGACTCTTCTACAGCTTGCGGCCCGGACAACATACCTGTTATAGTCTTGCAGAAGTGTTCTCCTGAGCTGTCGTCTATCTTTTCAAAACTATTCAACAAGTGCTTATCAGAGTCTTGTTTTCCAGCCTGCTGGAAAGCAGCATCTGTTATCCCTATTTTTAAAAATTCTGGAGAGCAATCTGACTCATCTAACTACCGTCCCATTAGTCTTCTTCCAATCATAAGCAAGGTTTTTGAATCTTTAATTAACAAACACTTAATCTCTCATCTCGAATCTCATAACCTACTTTCTGATCATCAGTATGGATTTCGATCTTCTCGTTCTACGGCTGATTTGCTATCAGTAATAACCGATAGGTTTTATCGCGCATTAGATAAAGGTGGAGAGGTTAAGGCCATTGCTCTTGACATTTCTAAAGCGTTTGATAAAGTTTGGCATGCTGGTCTCCTCCATAAGCTTTCTTCTTATGGTGTATCTGGAAACATCTTTAAGATTATTGAATCCTTTCTTTCCAAGCGTAGTATAAAAGTTGTCCTTGATGGACAGCACTCTTCTTCTTATTCTGTAACCTCAGGGGTTCCCCGAGGTTCAATCCTTGGCCCTATACTCTTTTTAATTTACATTAACGATCTTCCAGATATTCTCACATCTAAGGTGGCATTGTTCGCTGATGATACTACCATTTATTCTTGTCACGTTAAGAAGCCAACTCCCTCTGATTGCTTGCAGGAGGCATCTAAGCTCGAAAAGGATCTCACTTCTGCTACAGCATGGGGCTCACAGTGGCTGGTGAACTTTAATTCAGATAAAACTCAATTTTTTTCGGCCAACCGTTATCGCAATAATTTAGACCTTCCTATATTTATGAACGGTAATGTACTCGATGAGTCTCCTACCCTTCATCTTCTAGGATTAACTCATAATTCTGGTCTTTCTTGGAAACCTTATATCAAATCTGTTGCAAAATTAGCATCTGCTAAAGTTGTATCTCTTTATCGAGCTTGTCACTTTCTTACTCTGGATTCTATTCTCTATTTCTATAATTCTCAAATCCGGCCTTGTATGGAATACTGTTGCTGATTATATTAACAGTTGCTGAATATATCAACAGTTTGTGAAGAAAACAGAATGATAGTTCATAAAATTATTACAAATATTGTAAATAATTTTATTAATTAATCTTGGTTTGATGGGATGAAGATGCAGAAGAACTGTTACAAATACTTCAACCAATCACAAGGAGTGTACTTGCATCAACTGAAATAGGTAGAGTATGCAAGGAGTGTACATATATTGACTAAAATAGGTAGAATATGCAAGGAGTGCTGCTACTAGAGTTGCAAAAAAACACATTTTTTTCCTCTTGCATTTTTTTGGGTCAAAAAAACGAAAGAGGATTTTTTGGTGTTTTTTTGTTTTTTTTGGCTTTTTAAACAAGTTTTTTATTTTTCTTGGTAAATAATTTGGAAGAGTTTTTGTTTTATTCTGTTTATTTATAGTATATGATCATTATAACCACAAATACAATGTATAAACACCAATTTAAAATTAATGTTTTGATAAAAAACTTACATTGGTCTTACATTTGTTACATATGTTGAATTATGTTGACAGTAAGCCCTTATAAAAAAAGCTCTAACTTTATAATTAATTTACATGAAATTCTAATATATTTTCGAATAATAATGTTTTATTAGTTTAAATTGGTAAGTAGTGTAGCACTGTGTTGTGTAGTATATACACAATTAAAAAAAAGTATAAATATTTAAGCAAAAAAGCCAATAATTTAGTAATTTTAACATGTATTTAAACTATAAAAGGTATTCTAAATGGATGTGCTTTTTGAGTCCGAGTCTTCCTGCCCTAGACTACCTTTATCTAATGATTCATAAACAAAGCCACTGTCACTTTCTATATTAACCGCTTCAGACTCTGACCAAGGCATTGAAGTGCTTGGAACTTTATTTACACTCGAGTTATTAATTTGAGGAGTAGTTATGCTTGTACCATTTTCATAACTGGTGTTTTCAATATTTTCAAGTTTTAAATTTTGTGAAATTAAAACTAGTTTCCAGCTCTTTCAGTCGTTAAGCGATTTCTTTTCGCACTATGAATGTTATAATAAGTGATAAAACTTCTCTCACATGCTGCACTTGAATGTTAGAATAAGTACTAAAACTTCTCTCGCATGATGCACTTGAAGCTGTTAGCTAAAGAGTTCTAGATGCAACTTTTGATAGTTCAGTAAAGGAACACAACCCTTTCCACCAATTTATAGGTTGAGTTATTCCAACTGCAGTCCAAATAAAGGGTTTTGAAAATATACCACCCTTTGATTGGTAATTAGCCAAGTCATACATCATAATTTCTTTGTTTACTTCAGGCATACTTGCAGCAATGTTATGTATCACCTCACATGCATCAATCTATAAAAAAAAATTTCTTTTAATAATTTTATAATTACTTTATTATTTTAAATAGTATTTTTAAACTTGAAAATAGTATTTAAAATAATTCAAAATTTATCAAATATTTTACTATTAACGCACAAGGCTAAAATGTATTTGATTTTAAGAATCATATATGAATTATGTGTAGGAAATACTTTTTGTTCTCCAGTCAAGACTCTGCCTATTATAACTAGTAACTATTAAAAAACGAATAATTCTACTCTAGCTCTGTTACATGCATCATCTAATAACTATTTTTTAATAATTCTACTCTAGCTCTGTTACATACATCATCTAATAACTATTTTTTAATAATTCTACTCTAGCTCTGTTACATACATCATCTAATAACTATTTTTTAATAATTTTACTCTAGCTCTGTTACATACATCATCTAATAACTATTTTTTAATAATTCTACTCTAGCTCTGTTACATGCATCATCTAATAACTATTTTTTAATAATTCTACTCTAGCTCTGTTACATACATCATCTAATAACTATTTTTTAATAATTCTACTCTAGCTCTGTTACATACATCATCTAATAACTATTTTTTAATAATTCTACTCTAGCTCTGTTACATACATCATCTGATAACTACTTAAAAAATAAAAAATTTTACCCCAGCTCTGTTACATACATCATCTGATAGCTACTTAAAAAACAAATAATTCTACTCCACTCAGGATACTCCTATAACATTACAGTCATGAGACACACTGTTAATCCTTTAACACACTTTTGTACCACATACATTTACCGGCTTTAAAACTCCAAATGATTTTAAATTATTAGTTGTAAAGTATATATACAAAACATTAGTTTTAAACTATATATAAAAGTTACTATTACTAAATTGGTGTAATTCTATTAAAATTTACTTGATTGTGTAGTTACAATAGGCTGTTATTTTTAAGACACGTTATTTGACTACTAGAATTCACATCTAAGTTACTTTACATCAGTTTTAATGACTTTTAATCCAATTTGTACTAATTACAAAATTTTATTTGACTTTATATTATAAGTTATATATATATATATATATATATATATATATATATATATATATATATATATATATATATAAACATATATATATGTATATATGTATATATATATATATATATATATATATATATATATATATATATATATATATATATATATATATATATATATATATATATATATATATATAATATATATATATAAACATATATATATGTATATATATATATATATATATATATATATATATATATATATATATATATATATATATATATATATATATATATATATATATATATATATATATATATATATATATATATATATATATATACCGAGTATCAGTTGTAAACTGTATATACAAGTTATTGTTGCTATATTGATGTAACTCTATTTAAATTTTCTAGATTAGGTAGTTGCAATAGATTGTTATTTTTACGATACATGTTATCAGACTACTAGTATTCACATCTAGCTTACGTTACATCAGTTCTAATGACTTTTAATCAATTTTGTACTAACAACTCATACATGCTACTATAGCAGACACACACACCCACATACGCTGCACTGACTGTTAACATTACATACACAGCTATCAAAACAGAAAACAGTTCACAACTCTCTCTAACCCTTGTTATACTGCGACAAAGCACTAAACTTTACAACACTTGTCTCAAAATACTAGTCACAGTTGTTTGCAAGTTATACTGAACCCTGCTAAGTGTCCTCTGATCTCCGTGTCAAAGCAGAAGTCTGTGGTAATTGTCTTGATGGGATACTCTAAGAATAGTCCTTTTGGGATATCAAAATGGAATATCTTAAAGGATACTCTGGTGCAAACCCAGAGTGGAACTTCTTTTGGGATACCAGTCTTGATTAAAAGCTGGAGGTCTTCTTGTGTTCATATGTGTGTATTTATATATATATATATATATATATATATATATATATATATATATATATATATATATATATATATATATATATATATATATGTATATATATATATATATATATATATATATATATATATATATATATATATATATATATATATGAATTTCTTTTTTACTTATTTCAAGAATTGGTTTTCATGATCCTTTTTACATAATTAAGCCTTTAGGGAGCCATAGAAGTTTTATTAACGATTGCTCATTTGAACCATCAAAAGGAAGAGAAGTTGCAAGTGTTGGAGGTTTGTTTTTTATAATTTTTATTAGACAAAATAATTTGTATATAAATTTTATATACAAGGAAAGCTTCATCAAATATAGATACATAATAAATATGTTTTTATATATTTACTTATATTCTACATATTCAGATAAATTGTAAAAAAGTTTTTGTTTAACAGATGATAAAAAATGTAGAATCTGGGATTCAGATACATGTGAAGAGATTATGTGTTTACCATTGACAAGTGCTGGAAAAAGTGTTAAGTGGAACATAAATGATAATGGTAAGGTAAGCAAGTAATAATAAATAAATGAATATAGACATAGTAGTAGTAGTATCATAAGCTGCAGCACATTTAAACAATAGATTAAACAGTTTAGTCTATTAATTGTCAAAAATGTCTAGCGATATCCTAAAATGATTTCACAGCTTTTGTATTTGCTTCTCAATTCATGTTCCATTTTGAAGCAATACTATTTGTGAAAAAGTGATGTCAAGGCTGACAGTTTATTGATATTTCCCATCTAAATTGTGAGTGAGTTTGATTAACACAAGTTGTAATACTTGTTAATGGATTGAATCAGTGTATGTTATCAATGCTATGCACCATTTTGTATTGCTAAATCATATCACCACATTCACGATTAAGGTCTAATTGAGTCCCATTAAAAAATTTGCATCTAAGTTTCCAAACTATTCTTTTGATTACATGTCACCCTGTGTCAAGTTGATTCAAGAAGATTTTTTTTTTTGGAGGTAGGAGTTCTATGCTTGCACAGCAAATTCTAGGTGTGGGTATATGTAGCAAGTACTAAATTTCTTCCATAAATATCCTGGCTTTGTTTGGCTGATGAGGAAGCTTTACATGTTTGTGCTGAGGATTTAAGATTGTTACATATTAAAACATCAAGATTTTGTTCTCAGGTAGTTTTTTTGCAAGATGGAATTATAATAAAAAGTTGCGATTCGAATTGTCATTAATTAATAAGATAAAAAATGAACCTAAAATCTTCTTTCGTATGTTAAATTGAAACTAAAATTAAACCTGAGTGTCAGTTCAGCATAACACAGCAATTTAATCACCAACAAAATCACAATAGCTAATATATTTAACAAACACTTTCAATCAGTCTTCACAAATAATATAAATAATGAGCTTCCTGAATTTGAGAACCGTTCCTTAAGTCAAGCATATGATAACGCAAATCTTCTTTTTTTGTGAAACCACAATATTACATAAACTAGAAAAGTATTTACAAATCAATCGGAATTGATGGTGTAAGTCCATATGTTCTAAAAAACTGTGCAACGTCATTTTGTAATCCACTAAAAATAATTTTCATGAAAAGTTTTAATACAAGTTCATTACCAAGGTAATGGAGCCAGAAAAATTACGGTGTTACACAAAAGTGGTAGTTGACTTACTGCAAGTAATTACAGGCCACTTTGGCTCACATCAGTCATTAGTAAATTATGGAAAGTCGCGACTTCATGATGAAACGTCTAATAACAGTAATCTTATCATGTCGCAACAACATGGTTTTGTGCCAAAAAAGTTTCACAAATTCGCTAGAATGTCAAGATTTTGTTAGTACAGCTTTAAATATCAAACATCCAGTTGACGTCCTAATTACTGATTTTGTGAAAAAAATTTGACAATGTATTGCATGAATACATTATCGATAAAACTAAATTGTATGGTTTTAATAATAAATTTGCTGCATGGATAAAATGGTATAAATCTGAAATTTTGCAGAGAGAAAGTAGACACTCTTTGGATGAGCGTAAAAAAAAGCCCTGTTGATTGCGCAATGGGAACATCCCTTTTGGGGCAATAATGGGTAAAAAAAGGGTCAATTTTGACAGCACCAAAATATCATAAACTATATACCATTGGATAGAAAATTTTTATGCTGATCTATATTTATATAAAAACTACGACTTGAAAACAATTATTTTTTTAAATTATTTATGTTTGAAAAGTATAAAAACATTTTAAATACTATATTTTTTTGTTTTTCAAAGCATAATAACTTTTGTCTGTGTGTTACTTTAAATGGGAAAAAAAATGTGAAAAGAAATATATTCTTATTAAATAAATGTAAATTATGTAAATTATGTAAATTTCTTAAAAATGTCAATGTTTGATATTTTACTTTTTTTTAAAAAGTAAAATCATCAAATAAATTTCTCTCGTTTTCAACTTCATCACTTGAATCTTCTTCAATTTCAAAATCCTTAAAATGTAAAACAATCGTATCACAGAAACAACTAATATATTTTAAGAAGATTATGTGCATATAATATATTAAAAAAATAAAATTTACTGTTTTATTACTGCAGTCTTGCCTGTGACAGCCACCGCATGCAGACATACATTTTAATCTGTTTTTCCTGCAAGAACACATATTAGTTCTGCACATATTTCTTGACAAAGTTTTACAATCACAGCGAATCACTTTTAATATATTTGGTGGTGTCACATCTTTGTCTGTTGGTATTGGAAGAAGACAACCATTATCTAATTTCCATCCCCATTCTTTTGGATCTAAGTTGAAAAATTCATCTAGCATTTTCCATTCAATAACCTGGAGATGAACTCTAAGACCATGAAAATAAGCAGCACGATCTGTGGGTGGTAATTTTTCTGGTCTAATAATTCCTTCACAAACCATTTGTTTATATTTCAAATATCAAAAAATAATACTATTTAATTAGTTATTTTCTCAATCTAAATCTATATTTTTTCAATTTAAATGAATGACAAAAATTTAAATTTAAAAGTTCAGATTCCAACCGCATTTTCCTTAACAAAGATTCTGTGTTTCCACCAAAAAGTTCAATGAAAGCCTTTGCAGCAGATTCTCCAACTTCTTTTTTGGTTGCCCAGTAATCCGAAATAATTTCAGATATTGATTGTAAACTATTCGATTTTTGCAGTAATTTTAAAAAACTAGGTTTTCCTTTTCCCATTATTGAAGATATCGAGTCACATCCTGACCATGCATGAACAAATAACAGATGTTCTCTAAAATCCATTTCTCGAGATTAAGCATATTTTATACTCCAGAATTTTTTCTTGTTTTCATGATATAAAAAAACCTCATTTAATTCATCTTTCCAATGATAAACTAGCATCACTGCTATATCCGTATCATCGGCAACAACAATGCATGGTGAAATTTCTTTTGCAACTTCCAACAGTTTAGAGACAATTTTCGTGTCAGCATCCCCTTTGCAAATATATACTTCTTGACCATCTCGTTTAAAATAATCTGACAAAAGTAAAATTAATTGTGCTTTGTTGCGTGAATTCGATAGAAAACGCTCTTGTGAGTACGGAACCTGATTATTTTCTCTTATAACAAAATTTTGGGAAGATCCTTTGCATTTTGTTCTTCTGGTGTGTTCATTAGATTTAATTGAAGACCCTTTATCATAACCATCAAATATAATATAAGTTGTGGCATAATTGTTTCTTATATAGCTGACGTAGGTCTCAACAATTTCTATAAATCTCATACCTTTGTTCCAAAGAACTCTATGGAGTAAGGAACCACCGTCAAGGACATATTTGCACAAGCTAACAATTGTACTTGATTTAATTTCGTTGTCAGGAAGAATCACTTTGCGCAAAGAGGATTTGTTTGCTTTCAGCATTAGGTTATTTTTAAATAATGATTGTGGGAAATGAGTGAGCTTATAATCAAAGTATAGTTCAACGTCATCCTCTCTTTCTGCAATTGCTGCAAGCCTATTAAAAAGAAGTGCATGAAGAAGAACACCTATGTTCCCAGCCTCGTCACAGTTGACAAGATCTTCACATTTACTGACACAACACCCGTAGATAATATAGATTTTTATCATCAATATTGAATAGATTTCTGAAAATTGTTGGTGTAACCACGGATTTGTTTCTGAAAGATGTTGCATTTCTTGCAAGTATAACCTAGAGCACTTGGCATACTTTGAATGTCCTGATGCGGCAAATAAGTTTAGCATTTTTGAGATTGCTTGAAGATGCAAGTACCAGTTACAAGTTCTCTCTGCAACTAAAAATTCCTTTATGATTCCAATATAGTATATGTACAAGATCCAAAGTTTTGCTGTTCGTAATTCATATGACTTTTTTTCCGTATAGGTTAATATAGCACATTCAATATTTTTGAAAGCATCTGTATTACCAAGTCTGATTAACTCTTCCTTGTTCATACCATTTTGCATTGCCATTTTATAAGTGCATTGAATTCCGGATATATCAAGTTTTGATTCGTCAACTAAAATATCTATAATATGACTCATCAACGCACTATAGACCAACATGTGACCTCTTAAGGATCTTGCAACAGCTTTTCCTTTAAGCATATGTTTTTACCGTATCTTCAGAGTAAACTTGCTCTAAAACCTCTTCAAGGCCACTTCCTGCCAATAGTTTTCCAAAGCTTCCAAGAAAGCTCATGATTGTGTGAAATCCTCCAAGTCGACATACTATATTGAGGTTCTGATCTTTTATAATACCGAGTGATTTCTGCCACAAAGGTTGATCAAACGTAACGCAGGCAGTAACTATTTTATATTTATTAGCTTCATCAATAATGAACAACAGTGTAGAATATATGCACGTTTTATCTGAAGAATTTAAGTCAATAATAGGTAAAAACTTGATGGACGCTTTTTCATAAGTTATTGTTGATTGTGATGTAGTATGCATCATATAACCTGACCAGTTTGGTCAAGGATTAGTTTTTGAACTAAAAAACCATGCAACATGCCAAATAAGATCAAGATTCATTTGTTTTTTTGATATTTAGATAAAAAAGCTCATTGATAAATTAAAATTGATTACGTTTTAGTAATAGTTTTTTAAGTTTTGCACTGTAATGTTTTGTATTGTAAATACAGCAGAAAAACAATCGTCAGTAACGGTTGTTTTTCTAATATTTATTTATTCAAGCACTGTCATGTTTTCCAAATAGTCAGGACGCTACATAAAAATCCTAAAAAAAAACATTTTGTGTGAATAATTTAATTTTTGTACAGACCTATTCTATGTCTTAGGGAGTTAAAAAATCTTTATGGGCACCCTGGAAACTGCTTATAACTTCATTTAACGAAAAGTTGTATAAACTAAATGAATAGATTTTATCTTGAAATTTCTGCCACATTTAAAAATTAAATGCTGCAAATTAATTGCAGGGGATTAATAATTTTTGAAAAATAAAATGTTTTAAATATATTTTCTTAAATCAATGAAATTAAAATTTTCTAAAGCTTTTAAATAAAATTTTGTTAATAGTTTTTTTGTTTTTTTACAATAATAATAAATAATAAAATAAACCAAAAATAAAAAATAATAATAATAAACCAAAAAATAGTTTTAATGATATAATCTGAAAAGTTCCTGTTTCGTGTTTACTTAAAAAAATATTCGCTTTTTAAAAATTGTTTACTAAAAAAGCGTGTTTTTTTTTATTTTTAATTTTATATTTATTAATTATATAAGTTGAGTAAAAAAAATGTCAAAAAATGTTGAGCGATGATAAAAGTTTAATTGCTAAAAATTTAAATTCTTTAAATTCTTTTTTTTTAAAACTTCATCAAGAAAAGGATGTTAATAATATTGAAAAACTAGGTGGTTTTACTAAAAATGCACTTTCAGAAGTAAAGAATGCTAGGTAAGTTGTATATTAAATGTGCAATTTAATTTATCTTTCTATAAAGTTTTTAAAACAGTCTGTGAAGTATTGGTAGAGATTGAGTGGGGAAGCAGTAGGATTTAGGGTATGCATCCAAGCCTTCACTAGAGTATAGAAGTCTCTAAGTTTTTAAGAAACAGATGACCTTTTTTTTTATTTAAGTAGGCAATCAATCATGATCAGAAATGCTGCGGGAGATAAAAAGGTGATAGTATATGTGAAGAAACCATCCAATGTTGGGTACTCACAAGTCATGCTGTATGTTTCAAAATGTATCCCAACTTTGCAAAATGACTTGGGAATCACAAATAGTAAAAAATCACCAAAAAATTTAAAACCATCAAGAAAAGATTTCAATAATGGATGTGCAGAGAGCATTGATACTAATTAACTTTTTTTAGATGCTATAAAATCTTTGATGGATCAAGGAACTCTGAGAAATTTATTTCACAGGTTCCTCAAAGTGCTGCACATGTTTTTGATGGTATGGCAATTCTGTATTAGCATGCCAAAATAAAGCTTAAAACTTGGAGATGTTTTAAAATTTATTTTAAATCTGATTCTAAAAGGTTTCACAATATATTCTGTGACTGACCAATACTATCTAGGATCAATAAAATAATTTGAAGAAGTAAATCAGGATCTCTACATTTAAAGATTCAGCAAAATGTACAAGTAAGACCTAAGCAATTGTAAAAATATAAGCAAGATGCGGACAACATAGCCGAATTTATTACATTTCTAATGATTGGTCACATATGAAAAGGTTTGCATTAAAACTCACTTCTCTTTGTAAACTTGCAGTCTCAGTTATATAAATTGATATGTGATGTTAGTGGCCAGGTTAGATAATAATAATTCTTCATCTTTGTTTTTCTAAACATATTTTATATAATTTTTGTCTTTAATAATCACTAAATGTACTAAATAACTCCTTGGTAGGAGTTATTTCTGTTTTTTTTTTAGCCTATCTTATAAATTTATATTATACATAAAGTTTTCCAGCGAGAAGGTTGGTTTGCATGCAAATCAAGAAGAGGCTGATACAAAAGTATTCTTGTGCTCTAAGCACACTGCATCTATTGGCTTTGACAATATTTGCATTCAGAAGGTTGACATAGATATTGCTGTTTACCATTTGTGCTGCTTTTCCCAAACCAACTTCACATACATTTTTTTTGGGATAATGGTATTTCTAATTCAAGACAGATTCTTGATAGACTATATGTATATAAAAAGTTTGATATTATTGTGTGTTTTACAAAATAAATATAAATAATTTATAATTTAGTAATGAAAAAAAACTTTTGCCTTTAAAAACTTTAAGACAAATGTTAAAGTTTTATAAGCATACATAGTCAAACAACTTAAATTTAAAAATCATTAGTTTTTTTGTATTTTGCTATTTAAATTTTGTAACAAAGTTGTCCAGCCTACCCAGGATGGTTTTCAGCTTGTGCTTATTTGAAGAATTTTCACCCTGCCTAACCAGTAGTTCATAGGCAAGATCTCGCCTCGGCGGGGTAAATAAATTTACATATAAACGCAATGTTAAAATTATATGAGTTTTAAAGGAGAGGTGCAATCTCTGTAGTTTTTCTATCCCGGTTAGATGGAATGATTTTTATCCATATGAACACCCTCTAAGAAAAGAATTTTTGACTTATAACTTGAACGAAGAAGTTCGATACTTTTAAAATGTTATAAAATTCATCACAAATTTAATCAAACGCATTTTTATTACTGTTTATATAAAAAGATTTAATTTAAGTTTTAAACAATGGTGCATATTTTTTTTATGTTTGTCATATTTTAGATACTAAGTTAAAGACAACAATAAAATATTTTATATTTAAAAAGTTTTAATTAAAAGTATAAAATTTAAATAGCTTTTTAAAAACTGCTAAATCTAGTTCTTTGTTGCTTTTTTTACAGATTTTTAAATATGCTTTTAATGAAATTCTTACACTAGTTTTTTTAACTTATCGAGTTTTTTTTAAAATAATTATGTCAAAAAAAATCAAACTTTTTACCTTAAAGACCCAAGACCAAAAACCTAACAATGAATAAACTTTTTTTTTTTTTTTTTTTGTTATTGTGCATCAAAGTAATACTTATTAAAATGATATTTTATTTTAAATAAGCTAGATGTTTTTTTACTATTTTTGTTCATGTAAATAAAATATGACTCAGCCTATAAAGCATTAAGTTTTACTATTAAAAAAAAAAACTGTATATTTGCATGAGCTGTCTTTCCCCCATGTAAACTGACTTACACGTGTGTGGAGGTTGGTGGTTGCCTGCCATTACTGCTGAGGCCTATATATATATATATATATATATATATATATATATATATATATATATATATATATATATATATATATATATATATATATATATATATATATATATATATATATATATATACATAATAAAATGTATTAGTTAGATTTTATTTTGTTGCTATTTTATGTTACTGTTTATATATATATATATATTTTTTATGTTATTTTTGCTGTAGTTACTAGTAGGAGAACAAAATGGTACCATACGTTTATATGATGTTTTCAGTTATTTGCCGTTGTTTACATTAAGTTGTCTAAATGCTTCTTCTGTTCTTACTTCCGTTGACTGGTCATTACTTGACCCTCAAAAAATTGGCTGTGTTGCTGGAAAGTACTGGTATATTTGGGATGTTTCAAAAGGAAGGTACAAAATTTTTTTAAAAAAAGACTTAAATTGCAACACCAAAAATATTTAATATATATATATATATATATATATATATATATATATATATATATATATATATATATATATATATATATATATATATATATATATATATATATATATATATATATATATATATATATGTATATATATATATTTTTTCTTGATATTGTTTTTGAAAGTTTTAACTATAAAAGTCAAACTTATATTTGTTTTTATTACACAAATTTAATGATGCTGTGTCAAATTGACCTGATTATTACTTTTTACAAAGATTTAATGATGGTGACCTGATTTGTACTTCAAAATTGGTATTATAACAAAACTATTACTTTTGATAAATAACCTGTTGCATAAAAATTAGCACAAATAACGATAACAGTTGATGAAAAATATTAGATTTCTTTTTAATAACTTTGCCATAGTTCTCACTTATGACATTTGGTTTTTTAATAAAAAAACCTTTTACCTTTTATTAACCAACAGCCATTAACTTAAGTTAATACTTCTTAATACACTAAAATCTGGTCTTATATGGAGTATTAGCTTTATCATTGCTAAATTTAATAAAATATTATAATTGATTAAACTGTGCAACAGCAGTTTATTTTCAGTGTAATTAACAGTCTAAGAGTCGTACAGATTTAAGTTTATGGCTTCTCCCAAAATTAAAATGGAACCGTTTACCAAATTAAATTGATGCAAAATCATTTCAGTTTTGTAATGTATTTAGCTCTAAGCCTAAAGAGATAAATGGCATAGATTAAGTGAAAAAAAAAATGATAATAAAAAAGCCCTAAAACTTACATTTTAATTTTTGAATAAGTTGATTCAAGTTGATATTGCAAGTTATAAAATGGAAAACCAGACAATTGAAGCCAGAACTACGGAAAAGTTTAATGCACTGATACTGCTAAAATTATTGGTACAAAATATGTTTGGTATAAAAAATGCCAAAGAATGTTTGCTATGTATTTTGGTAACCAAGTATTCATTAAATATTACCGATTAGTTGATTTGCCTATAACAAAGTCCAAACTTGAGTGGCTTCTCATTCAGCAAGGTTACTTTTTACTGTAAATGTTCTTTCTTGTTCAAAAAACTTTTATTTATTTGGTTTTTTTCCACATCAATTTTTTTAGAAATCTCTCTTGTTATATATTTCTGACTGATACAATTATCAGTTTTTAAAATCTTAAACGATGTTGAACAATGTTAGCTGCACTAACAAGCTATTTTAATTCTGCAAATTCTTGCCCGAATAGTCATTCTTTTAAATTACATAAGTACATTACACTGGTTGTCCTTTAAAAACCTTTTTTTTTCACAAACAATTCTCTTTTATCATTTTTTACGTAGTTTTATATAAATATATATATAATTCTTTTAGCATACCTGAGTCATCAGGGGTTGCACATTCTGATTCGGCACATGAATTTAGGTATTTATTAAATAATATAATCTTATTATAGTCTTTTTTTTTAACAGAGTTATTGCAAAAGAGTTTTTTTTACAGATTTAGTAACATTGATGCTAGAATATATTCAACAAGAGGAAGGCCTGAGAATGAGTTTAAAGTCTATTTTTCACACAAAGACAAGGTATATATTTATATATATAGTAGTGTTAGATTTTTTTGTTATGGTTATCATTAGTACTAAAGTTCATTTAAGGTTGAGTCTAATTTATTTAAGTCTTTTTTACTTGAATGAAATCTTTCACTTTTAATGCTTTTCAAAATATCTTTTGTCCAAAACTGTGGTTTTCGTCACTAATCAGAACTTAGTAAATATTTCACTTTAATGGGTTTTAAAAATTTTAAAGAATATTTTAAGTTATTTAATTTTTTATTTGGTTTTTATTTTTGTTGGATTTTTTCTAGATACCAGTATCTACTTTAACAAAAATTGGTAATGGTTCATCCTGGCATAATTTATTGCCGATAGTAGCTATTGGAGCTAATAGAAAAGTCGCGCTCTATAGTTTGCAGTAAATGTTTTAGCACTGATAAACTATCGTATGAAAATGCTTTGTCTTTCATGCAAACATCTTAAAAAATAAATTTTAAATTTATGAAGCTCGTATAAGTTGTTTAGTGGAGACGTTCAATTCCAAAGTTTTAGAATTATTGGCGAATGTAAATGTTTACGAATGTAAATGTTTTTAAATGAACAAAAATACAATTTTTTTGAAGAATCTTTTGCATTTTTATCTTATACTTTTTTATTAATTATATTTTTAATTTGTCGATATTTATTTCTTTTACCATTTTTGTATAGTTAAATGACAAAGTATACAAAATTGCACACCACAGGTGCATAAAAAGAACAGCATTGTTGCAACACAGCTGCAAATAATTGATTGTACTTTTATTGGATATAAATTGTGATATTTTATTGGATATAAATAATTGATTACGGTTTTGTTCCAATCAAGGCACCTGGTTTCCTAAATTGGAATACTTTGGTTATTTAATTGTGACAGCTTGCTTTCTTAAAAAGAAACAATAAAATCAACAAAGAATTGGATAAAAATTGCTCAAGCAAAAAGAGATTCTACAAATAAAACTTGCAAAACTGCTATAACGTTCTACACTTCTTGTATAGGTTTTACAATGTCTAAAAACGATTAAAAAAAAAAAAAAGATTTTCTATTTAAAAGTTTAATGTTATAATATATATACCACGTGGACTTCTAATTCGTGTTAGTAATTAAATTACTACAAGTACTAGTAATTAAAGTTAAAGTAATTAAATTACTGTTAGTGTTAGAAATTAAATTACTGACAACTACCGAAAATATGTTATTTATATGCTATGCAAAGTAAGGTAGCCATAGCAACCAAAAAAAAATAACCTCATAAGAACTGTGAATCTCATTTTAATACATACTCCGAATATTGTGTACTTAGCGCAGATAAAATACTGTTAAAACAACGTTAATGTAAAAACTTTTGCTATGCAAAATTCAGTACCATAGCAACCAAGTTAAAACATATATAAAATCTGAACGGGGATTTAAGGAGACGAGCAATCAATTAAAACTTGATTGAAGCATCATATAGCTTAAATAAATATAATACAGCACATGGCAAATTATGGTAATTATTAGTTATAATGCGGCAAAATAATAAATTTCATGAAGATTTTTTTTTAAATCTGTGATTTTCAAAGTATAACTGAGATAACATGCTATGACATATTTATTTCACACATTGGTTTTAATTATCTCTAAATACTCTAGAATAACATGTACTAATTATTTGTTTCAAAAACGTAGATGTAATTGAATCGGCTCATGCTAAAAGGGGATTAGTCAACAACACATAGTTTTGAGAAAATTAAATAAAACTTTGCATTATCTTCATTTTTGACCAAAAAGATGCAATTTTTTGTATATGAACACTTTATTACCCCAGTTATTATGGGACATACTTGAATAATGACATTTACAATGCTTTCATATGAAAAAAAATCATTTAAGTTGTTTGACATATCCCCTTTTAGCATATTTTGAATAAAAAGACATATAAATGTGTTTAAAAACAATGTTATTTACTAAAAACACTATGAAATCAATATTTGCATATACTCTAATTTATAAGAAACTCATTTTATAAATATATACTATATTCAAATAAATCTAATTAGTCTGAGATAAGCAATATAAGCAATGATAACTTAGTCATCGTTTTCAACTTCAACTTTTTTGGTTGTAGGCCACATATAAATTTCAGCATAAAAGTCTTCAAACTCCACTGGAATATAGGGTTGTAATTTTTTTGTCTGCCATTTTTTCAATCTTTATTTTCTTGCAGGGTAAGCTTCTTTACTTGGAAAACATAATTTTTGGCAACCTGTTGCTCTAAAAGAAAAGCTGTGATTTATTATAGAATCGATGAAAGATCGTCCAATAACCTTAGAAGGAAATTTTATATCATATGTGCAGTACATGGACTTGCTTATTGAAAAGTACTGCTTTTCGTTCTTTTAAACTTGCTTACCTTTAGTTTCATCGGAAACATAACTTTTTTTATAAAACTGCGGCCACCACGTCTTGAAGTCTAAAATTTCTAAAGATTGAACTTTTTGTACCATAAATTTATCATTTTTGGAGAATGCCTTAATAAGTTCACATACTTGGTCTACTGTGTACAGTCTATCATGTCGGTTTAGTTCTCACTTTATTATGCTAAAATCCCTATCACATGGTAGGAAGGAGTGCCCTCTTATTGGGTAGAATTGCTCAACCTTTTCAAATTTCTTTAAATCAGTCATGGCTAAGAATAGCCTAGATAATGAATAGTTTTTATTTTGGCCCCAACAATTATCTGAGAATAAGTGGAGTTCAGTAAACTGCTGCTCTACTTTCATTAAGTAGTTAAATAGAAGGAAACACACTACATCTGGACCCTTGCCTGCTGTGCCTTGGTGGTAAACAAAAATCTGTGCTTTGTTACTTTTATTGTTATGAATACAAAAAATATTAATTGAAAGTTGTCTCAGATAGAAGGTTTCTTGTACTGGTATTTTGGGATCTGTATGTTCTGCATAAAGTCAAAACACAATGATAAAATTTGTCTATTGTCCTTGTCATTGACGTCTTTTCCGATTCGATCATAAAACTTTTTTGATTTGCATTTATGAACATCAAGTTTAAAAAAAGCACACTTTTTTGCTGACCGTTGAGACGAGGACTCCTTAGTTTCATATTGAGTTCCTCGCAAGTGCAGCATATGTCAACTTGTGGCCTTCCAAAGGAAAGATTATAGTTTTCTTTAAAGTAGTTGAAATACTTTGTTCCTCCAACTTTTATTGAAAAGTATTTTTCTTTAAACAGCTTATACATAGTTTTAACATTTAATGTGGCATCTAGATAGCATATAGGCTTTCCAAGATAGTGGCTTTCTTTAGTTGGAAAGCTTTCAATATGCTGTCTGATAAAAAGTTTGATTTCTTCAGACAATACTTGTTTTATATAACGTCCTCTATTATCAACTGGGCTTTTCGCAATCAACTTTCAACTTTCAACTTGTTTTTTAGTAACTGCATGTAAACTTAAAAAAGCTTTAAAACAAACCGGCATTCGATCAGAACCCACCATAACATGATACTTAAAGGTAGCACTTTTTTTTTTAGAACTGTCTTCCTTTCTGGGTCGTCTCTGCTTAACTTCTTGGGAATCAATCAAGGATTGTAGGAATAAATCTTGCTCATCTTTAGTGTTGAAGGCATGGAAATCGTTAAATATATCCATTTGATCTTTTTCATTAATAGTCTCAAGACAGTAGTTTCTCTTGCAGCTGAAAAAACAAAAGATTATTTTATACTGTATAAAATTTTTTACCTACAAATAAAATTGTAAAACTGTAAAACTACTCACTAATATTGAATACAAAATAACGTACCTGCAGGGGAAGCCAGTACACTTTTGAGGTACAGTATTTCCTTGGTAGTTAACATATTCTTCACCTTTTATTCTGGCAACCTTTACAATGTTTCTCTTCCAAAGACTTTGATCTGGTTTCTTTTTCTTTGCTGAATTTTTCTCAAAAACCCCATCACTTTCATCTGATCGGTAAACTATATATAGTACAATAAACAAAAGACTAAGAACACAAGACATAAAGTTAAACATAAACTTAATTCCAATTTAGGTTAATTTAGGTTTTTAGGTACTGTATAGCAGTACAACAACATAAGACTAAAAACAAAAAATATAAAGTTAAATATAAAGTTAATTCCTATTTAGGTTAAGCTATACAGTTCAGTAAAATAAATAAAAACAACAACAGTTATCTGTTGCAGTCAATTGCGTAGTTACGTCTATAGACGGCATAAGATGATTTTTTATGCTAAAAGGGGGAAAGTCAGTGACTTAACTCCTTTTAGCATGAACAGGTCTACAACTGATTCCAGTTACTAGGGTAACCAAGCGTCTGGCATGTCTGATTTTATCATAAATAGTTAAAACCTAGTATTGAAACATGAAAACCATTATTAACTCAATTTTCAATTTTTGTGACTTATTCCCTTTTAGCATGACCCGATTCAATTGAAATATAACACAGCGTTAATGTCACCGTAAATTACTTATTGAAATTTTTTTTTTTTTAGTTTCAATAATCAAATGCTTAGAGTCCTGGTAACTAAGAGATTTAATATAAATAAATTATCAATAAATTTCTTCTTATTTAATTTTTTCTCATTTTGTCCACCTATTGGCTCACTGTGCTGCGCCAAGATTTTCTGGGAAGAAGTCCAGATGCGAATTGAGTAAATGAATTTTAAGAGGCATATTGCAATCAAGATGCTAGTATGCTTAAATGCATTTTTGTACAACATTCACATTCTATCTCTGGTATCCCATTCGCATATGAAACAGCAGTACTTTGTGTATCCTGACTGCATTCCCATTAGAATAGCTAATACTTATAAGTCACCGCAAATACTCCAGTTGTACTTGCGGTAACGTATTTTTTCCAGACGTTGAGACGTTTTCAGATGTTTTCGTACGTCTTTTTCATCTGAGCAGAATATTCAACTGGTACTGATGCATATCTATTTCCATTGTGAAACAATATTGCCTTTACACTAGTCTTGGATGAATCGATGAACAGTTGCTATTCTTCAAATCTATGTTCAACTCCTAGACATAACAAAAGACTATCAACATCGGTTCAGAAGCAAATACTGTCACTCATTTCAAAGTACTGAACAAGATTTTTCTGCCTGTGGCGAAAGTTTGCTGTTATTGTATCTGGTGCAAGCAAATGAAATTAATTCAAGCAACAACCAAGCAGTTCTGTTTGGGCTTTTGTAAGTGCCAGATCTCTTACTAGGTCGCAAAGTTCAGCATAATTAATCAAATGAATTCCTTTTCCGGCAGCTTTGTAACCAGAGTCTGTGTTGTCGGCAGAAAATGAAATATCACTTTTTTCTTACTTTTCTTCGTTAGTTGTGAATGATGCAGATGCTGGTGGTATTGGAAAAACCACGGGAATCGTTTTCATAACTGACTGAACATCTGGCTAGCTTATAGATGAACAAATTTTATAAGAAATTCCACTAATTTTTTCCATACAAAAATAACAATCTGTTGAGTGATAGCTTTGCTCACACCATACCATAGGAACTCCGAATGCCATGTGATTGTTTTTCTTTGCATTCCTGATCCAACCACGCAAGTTGCATGAGCACGTAAAACAGATAAAGTTAGGTGCCCACGACTTACCACAATCTACCTTTGAATCAAAGTACAGTTCGTATGCTTTCTTTAGTAATGGTGTGAAAGTCTTCAGATGTAACTTATCTGTTACATAGCCGCACACATAGCAAAAAAGATCAGGTGAATTTACATATCCTCTGGTTGCCATATTTTTAGTGAATGACCACATTAACTTTTATTTTTTATGTTCACATTAAATTTTATGTTCCTGCAATTAATACAGAGGAAATAAAGCAGGAACTTATGTATCTATTATTGTTTACGTATATATTCGATAATATCTTATATGTATATGTATATATTCGATAATAATTATATAGATTTATATGTCAATTGAGACAGGTATTTTTAAAACTGATATTAGTGATCATTTCCCAATATACGTTAAAATAAATCCTTTCAAAGCCATCCAACGGGGATCCCAAATTTATAACTCTAAACAAACGCAACCTATTGAAGGTTAATAATAATCTTTCCAATAAACTAAAGTAAGGGACGTGGAATCAGGTTTTTAATTGTGATAATACAAATAAAGCATATAGTATTTCATTAAACACATTTCTTGATATTTATAACGAAATGTGCCCTTATGAATTCAAAAAAAAAAAAAAAAACAATATTGAATCCTTGATGGATAAAACTCTTATAAAATGTTCAAAAAATAAACAAAAACTTCACAATAAATTTTTAAAAAACAGAACTGAAGTTAATGAGAAAAGTTACAAAAAAGTATAAACGCTTTTACGAAAATATTCTAAAAAAAGCTAAAAAAAAGTATTATAGTAAAGAAATTACAAAAAACAAATTCGATGTGAAAAAATTATGGGATTTAATTAACGATATAATGGGAAGAAAAAAAATAAATACGGCTATACTACCTCAGAGAATAAATATCAATAAAACTGATATTTATTGTCCATTACAAATCTCGAATGAGTTAAATAAATACTTTACAAACATTGGCCCTAACCTTGCTAAAAAAATCATAACTACACCAAATTCTTTTCAAAAATCTTTAAATGGCGCGATACTGCAAGATCGCAACTTTTCTCATGAAGAGTATGAAATTGCTTTTTCTTTTTTAAAAAAGAATAAATCACCTGGTTTCGATGATTTTCTAGTATTATAGTTATTTCAAACAAAAAAAACATCTCCAAACCTTTGTTTCATATTATAAAACTTTCAATCGAAGAAGGAATTTTTCCTGAAGCATTAAAGTTGGCAACATATGTCCAATTTACAAAAATAATAATCAATCTGAAATCTCTAATTATAGACCTGTATCAGTTCTTTCTGTATTTTCAAAAATATTTGAACGTGTAATTTATAATAGAATCTATAACCATTTTGATAAAAATAACTTATTTTACACAAAACAGTTTGGTTTTCGGAAAAAACATTTAACAGAACACGCAATAATTGAAATAGTAGACCAAATTACTAAAGTATTTGAAAATAATAGCTTCACTCTAGGATTATTTATTGACCTATTAAAAGCAATTGATACGCTTGATCACCTAATTCTTTTAGAAAAAATAAAACACTACGGAGTGATAAATAAAACCCATGTTTGGTTAAAAAGCTACCTCACTGAAAGAAAACAATATGTTATTAGTAAGGAATCAGGACAACTTAGAATTTTTTATGGAGTTCCACAAGGGTCAATTCTTGGTCCATTACTTTTCTTGATTTATGTAAATGATTTAAATAATCCATCAGCAAAGCTTAACTCAATAATGTTTGCTGACGACACAAATCTCTTCCTTTCAAACTGTGACATTAATCAACTGTATTCTGACATGAACTCTGAACTAATGAATGTCGATGAATGGTTTAAGGCAAATAAACTTTCACTTAATGTAGATAAAACAAAATATACTTTATTTCATAAAAAATCACAAAATAAAAAACTTCCTTTAAAATTACCTGATTTGATTTTAAATGATGCACTAATTAGTAAAAATGATTCAATAAAATTCTTAAGAATTCTTATTGATGAAAACTAGTATACACTAGACGACTGATCTTACAAATCCTACAAGAATCCTATAGGATGAGATGCACAAGTCCCTGCAGGACTTACAAGAATCTTTTGAAGGATCTTGTAGGATTTGAAGGAAATCTTATAAGATAATATAAGATCTACAAAAATATTTTAAAAGATCTTGCAGGATTAACAGGATTCTTATAGGATGCTGAAGGAAAATTTTAGATTCGTATATATACGGCCCTAGCCCTCCCCCTTAATCCAGAACTAGTTCCTATAGAAACCAGTGATAGATTAAAGAGAAGGGGGTTAGGGCCCTAAAATTTCGGGATTCCGAAAATATTAAGCGGACCTTTTTCTTTTTCTACTGTTTTAGTCATTTTTATGCTGTTGCACGTTAAAAAGGACTCCGGGCCCTAAAAAGTCTTAATACGCCAATGATAGGAACCATAACATTTATTATTTTATAATTAATATCATAAATCTAATAACCAAACTAAGAACATACGAAGTTAGGTGTTTATTTTGATTGGAAGGAAAGTATGTCTATTCTTCTTTTTAATTACTGATAATAGGTAAGTTAAAGTTTGAAATAACATTTTCTTATTAAAAAAAAATCATTCTGTATAAAAGAAATTTTTTACATATTATCATTATTACAGAATCACAATTGCATTGCTGATTACTTTTGTTTTTTCTTCCTATCTAGGCCGCTCTGATTAGGACTTCGTCTGACGCACGCCCACGAGTAATTGGCAAAAACTGTTGCGAGTTGCTATTTGAGATTTCGTATTATTGCATCAGGAACTGTGGTTCTATAATAAGAAATAAATATATATAAAAAAAAATCATAGAAATCAGGCAATTAATCATTAATTAAAAATTTAAAACCCATCCCGCCCCTTAACCCATCGCAGACACAAGGGAGGGGGGATTATTACCCCCTGACAAAATTTTTAAATTATTTAAAGAGTATGACTAAGTAAAAAGTAAAAACACTTGAAATTTTAGCTACTTGCCACAAATATTTAGGCAAATTTAAGTAAAAAAAAATTCATTTGAAATGCCTAATCTGAGCATATTTGTCAAATCCATGGATCGATTCGGTCAAACGAATGACTGGTCAAAAACTTAAGTTTTGGATTCTGGCTTTTCATTGTAATCCTGAATTTTCATATTTTCCAAGAAGCTCTTTTTTATACTTACATATTTATAATTATTTCAATAAATGAAGTATGAGAAAATGTTAGTCCAAGATCCTACTTTTTTGGATCTTGATCATGATCCAACAAGTTAAACTAATTGTTCCCAAATTTTCAAAATAGGTTAAAAAAAATAGAAAATTTAATAAAAACCCAAGCACTGAAAGTATGATTTTCTAAATAACCCCCTCCCACCCTATGCCAACAACTTATAGAAAATAGGTAAGCCTTAAAGCTGCTGCCCAATAACATTATCTACATAAAAATGCCCTAATTAAAAAACCTACCTATCAGCCTCTCCATGAGTTGTATTCAGGCTTTCTCTAAAACATTTTAAATTTAATAGTATTTAATAACTTTCATACTTTAAAATATATATATATATATATATATATATATATATATATATATATATATATATATATATATATATATATATAATATATATAAAATAAATATATAACAATTTTTATTAATAATTTTTATAAATTAATTAGAGTACAATAATACAATAATAATTATTACTACAACCAAATTTATGCATATTTATGTTACCAAGTTTATAAAATTTTCATAAAATCTATAATATAAAATAATCATGATATAGCAACTATTTATATATTTCTTTAACAAAAATTAAAAAGATATTAGATTCTCAAACAGCATGTTTATTATAATGAACATGCTGTTTGAGAATCTAATGTCTTAATTTTTATCTAATATCTTAATTTTTGTGATTTGTGACGTGATTTAAATGCGCTAGTGACGTGATTTAAATGCGCTATTGGAAGGCATTATGAATTGCGGGAAAATAAATAGCACTTGATTGCAATTTATTTTCCCGCAATTCATAATGCCTAATGATTTAAATCACGTCACTCTACGACTCAATTTACTCAGAAAGTCACGCAATTCAATGTACACTCTGATTGCGAGAAAAATTTTTAATTCAACTAGATTTTTTGGTAATAATTTAACTTTAACGTAAGGGACAGATTGTCTTGGGCGGCAGATTTCCAAGGGACACTAAATAGAATGAAGGTACCTTGGAACAAAGGTCCTTTACCAATAATATAGGAGAATTTCGATAATTAAGAACGCCAATCATGTTGCTGTCCCGGGCGGCGAAACAGTTCTTGGCGGCATTTTATATATATATATATATATATATATATATATATATATATATATATATATATATATATATATATATATATATATATATATATATATATATATATATATATATATTTGTTATTATTTAATTTTTTTACAACACTTTTATTTATATACATTCAATAAAAATAGTTTTTAATTATTTTGTAATTATAATATATTTTTATTTACTTCCATACTTATAATGTTGTGTAGCGCAGGTGGTAAGGCACTAATGGTCTAGTGATCCGTGTTTCGAAACCCACCACCGATAAGTTTTTCATTTTTCAAAATAAGTTAAAAAAATGGAAAATCTTACGAATCCTTTAAGATACCCTACAGGATAATCAAGGATTTCTTATGATCTTATAGGATTTGCAAGACAAAGAAAATCTTACGAATCCTTTAAGATACCCTATGGGTAATCACAGGATTTCTTATGGTCCTATAGGATTTGAAAGACAAATAAAATCTTACAAATCCTGTAAGACATCCTGTAGGATAGTATAAGATTATATGCGATCCTATAAGACTCATAAGTTGTCTGTAAGATAGTCGACAAGTGTATTTTGGCCTAATACATTGTCTCATATACTATGCCAATATTACATGGGCTAGTACTCAACCAACAAAACTTAAAAAAATATTTTCTCTACAAAAACATGCATGCAAACTTATATATATATATATATATATATATATATATATATATATATATATATATATATATATATATATATATATATATATATATATATATATATATATATATATATATATATATATATATATATATATATATATATAAAGATAATATGAATATGGAAAACCATTAATGGAAGACATGCAAATGATGAATATATATGAAATCAACATTTATCAACACCTAATTTTTATGTATAAATGTAACAACAGCTTGTTACATTTATACATAAAAATTGATTCCAAAAAACTTTAATGGTAAGTTTACAAAAAATGTAAACAAAAAGTATTCTCTTAAAATAAACTAATGGAGTACTTATAAATTACCAAGAATTAATAGTAAGTATTTTGAATATGGAATATCATACCACGGACCAAAACTATGGAACACTTTTCAAAAAACAAAAAATTTAAATACTGTAAAATCATTAAATTCCTTTAAATTTATAATAAAAAAAGAAATTTTTAAATTAGATAAATAGTTTTCTAGATTTTTCGAAATGAAAATCGAGTTTCATTATTCTTAGTTTTTTTACTTGCTTAATTGGCTCTTATTTTGATATTTAGCTGCCATTATATTAAAATGAATATTGATACAACTATATAATATTATTTACTTTCTTGATTTAATGGAAATATTTATGCAAGTTTTAACCTTTTTATTATATTGAAGATCCTATTTTTTTTAACTTGTAAAGCCCGGCTAGGGGCTATGAAAAAATTGTGGTGACTTTAGTCATCCGTATCTTCTTTGAGCCCCTGCCTTTTTTTTATAAATCCACTTTTTTTGTATGTAATCGTTTCTTTGTAATTATATTTCTTATTATATAAACAGCAAATATATATTAAAAAAAAAAAAATCTTTAAAATTCAACCTGATGGAGCAACAAATATTACTTAAGAAACACTTAATGACATTCAAGATATCCACAGCTTGTTTTTCAGTGTTACTATGGTCTATGGGTGATTAATTAATATAAAAAACGACAGAACAAAAAAACGCAATATTTCACCCTTCATTTAAAAAAATGAAAATAATACAAACCTCTAGTTTTTACTTCTAAATGAGTAGGATTTGCAGATTTCTATTTTTATCAAGTTATAAATATTAAAATTTAATAACGGTATAAAAAACAATACTTTGTTTAACCTCCTCAGGTTCTCATCGGTCGTTTCTTCTATTATCTCTCGGCAATTTGTCGTATTTATATTAGGTATATCTACAAAAAGTGGGAAATTTTAAAAACATCGACCGAATTTTTATAAAAGCGTAGTGTTTATATGCTGAATTTTATCGCTATTTTTTTTCATCGAAAAATATATATAAAAATCATGGATAAAAAAAAATACTTTTGATGTTTAAAACATGACTTCAGAAAGTAGTTCAGAATTAAGTGCATCTGAGTTACGTTCAAAGTTATTTAAATCATTAAAAGAAAAAGGCATTCTTCAGTCAGTTAAGGTACAGAACATTTACTTGTGATGGTTTACATATAATTCTAATAAATATAAATTAAAGAAAGTAAATAAACGTATAAAAAGTGTCGAGGATTGAAAGTTAAAAATCACATAAAAATATTTTATAAAATTGATAAATACACACATAAATATATACCTAAAGTTATATATACCGATATCGTATTAAAAGTGCTTGAAGTGGGAAAAAAAAAGGTAGCGGGTTGTTTTTTAATCCTTAGAATCAAAATAAATAATCAGTGGACCTACTAATGATTTAAATATTAGACTTGACACGAAAAGTAAGATTATATTAAAAGTAGAAAAAGAACGCTCACATTCAGCTATAGTAACTATTAAGGTATTTATAGTAGTGCTCAGAGGCTGAAAATTATTAGGAGTTTTATTACAGTCACCAATAGTATGTACTCGCGAAACCCTTGGAATGCTATATTTTTACAAATAATTTAATAATTGATAAATAAATGAGGCTTCTGTATTTGTTAATTTGATATTTTCAAAAAATTACTAATGGCAATATTTATTTCTGGAATGTTCATTTGCAAGCAGATTGACAGAGCAAACTTTTTGCTCATAGTGGCAGATTTGTCATGAATCCTACTTTACTATCTTTAAGTCATATACAGGTTACAAGCTTTGTGTGCATTTCATTTGAAATGTGATAAACAGTATCATCGCATGCATGGTCAGATTGTAAAATACAGCCCATGTCTAAACCATTTTCTACCTGTAATAATATTAGTTTTTTCAAATCAGAAAATGAATGATTCGTTTTTGCAATGTGATAAACAGTGCAAAATATGTGGTAGATAATTCCTCATTGATCTGTATTTTTGAACTAAATATCTATATGGTGTGTTTTTTGGACTGAGAAGTAGTTTTACAATTTTTTTTGTATACCGCTGATAGCTTATGCTTTGAAAGCTTTTTCCTCATTGATTGTTGTTTTTTTCTTTTGTTTCACCATACTCTTTGATGTTTCCAAGCGTCCACTTGCTAGCTATTCTTAGCTCTTGTAGTTTTTCGCCACCTAAATTATTCACTAACTTACAAACAGAACAACCAAGACCTGTTATTGAAACTGTCAACCAGTCAAAAGTCTTTAGTTTTTCCTTCCACTGTACATCTGACCAGTAGTCAGGAAAAAATATGACATCCTATTGAGGAAAGGATAGGCAATTCCAATTTACAGATCTCTCAAAAATATAATTTTTACTTAACATGATACTTAAAAAAGTTAAAGTAAAAACACAAATATTACAATATTTAAACTACTTTAAACAGTTATAAAAAACTATTTAACAATCCCAATCATGCTGACAATAAAACACATTTTATTTTTAAAGAGTATTAAATTGTTATTGTAAAATGGTATAAAACAACAGTAAAAGTTTTCTGCAAAGTTGCTTTGTCAAGCTTTTGTTAATATAAAACAACTTTGTGGCGTTGTTTGATTGCTGTTTTATAAAGATTATAACATTAATAACAAAAAATGCGTTTAAAAAAAAGGAAGTAAATAAAATTGTTATAATCAGTTAATTATATTGCAAAACTAAACTATATAAATATAGCAAATAATTTTGTTCTAATTAATAAATTAAAACATATAATCATAAAACTTTAAAATTCATATTTGGGCAAAAACATGCTATATCCATAGTAAGATCAAAGCAAAAAAAAAAAACACTCGAAACCACGTTTTTTTCTAACTTATTGCTTCTTGATCTAGCGTACTAAAAGTATAATTAAATTTTTCATTCAAATTGTTTTTAAGTTAGTGTTTTCATTCAATTTTTTTGTTCAAATTGTTTACCAATAAAAGTAAGAGAACTAAGTTTTTTGTTTAAATATAAGTTAAATTATATTTTAAGTTTATGAGTTTATTTTTTTTTATTACTTTTATTTATATAAAGATAATAAAATAAATAAAATTATATTTCCATAAAATTATTTTTTTATGAATTTTTTTTTTTTCTAACAACCTAAATTAGAAAAGAAAAAATAAAAACATACAAAAAAAAAGAAAAGAAAATCACAAAAATGTTTTTTTAAAGAAAAATCTAATCGCAAAGGTGAGAAAATCAATTGCGATTCGTGTTCGTGATATGCTTGATAAACAGAATTGAAGGGCTTAAACCCAAAGACAACGCGTGTCTAAAAAGTTTTTTCACACCGCAATAAATTACGCTTGTTATGTATATATTTTTGTAACATTTACATTACAAAAATATACTTGTAACAAGTGTAAAGCCAAATTTTGTATTTAGTAAGCATTTTAATGAATAAACAGATAGCTTGTGCAAAAACCAAAGACTCTCATAAGAAAAGCTCTCATAAGAAGCTGTTTAGAGGAGCAACTTGCATTGCTTTCCATGTTAATTTTAGGATAACTTTTCTCTGCACTTGCGGTCATTTATCCCTCCTATATATATATATATATATATATATATATATATATATATATATATATATATATATATATATATATATATATATATATATATATATATATATATATATATATATATATATATATATATATATATATATATGTATATATCTTATACTGCTGAGTTAAGTGAGCATGATGATGTCATACTGAAATAGCCTGCTGCCGGGGGCTTCAGTACATACATCGACTGACAAATAGCCTGACTCGCAGTGGAGTGCTGCTACATCGAGTGAGGGTTTGGTATGGGTCAGCAACCTTTTCATTCATTATTCTTTGTTTTCCCTCATCATTTTCTCTAAAATCTTACTTAATTTAGACTAGCAAAAAAAGTGAGCAATTGCGCATATAAATATGATATAGTATATATATATATATATATATATATATATATATATATATATATATATATATATATATATATATATATATATATATATATATATATATATATATATACATACAGTGCTCGAAGTTAGGCAGGATGTGGCATCCTTTTATAAAGTATTAACCATCCAGTCACCTTATTATAAATCTCTATATATAACAATGATTAGGTGGGATGGTATTTTTAATTTACCGAATACCATCCCGTTACTTTTTTTTCTCTACTTTGAGCAGTGTATATGTATATGTATATATATATATATATATATATATATATATATATATATATATATATATATATATATATATATATATATATATATATATATATATATATATATTGATATATATATATATATATATATATCAACCCTCAGAATTAGGGTCGGCATTTGGCAATGCTGACCTAAAAGTGTTTGAGGTCAGCAAAAAGTTGCCGAGCTCGTTTCTATGTTTTATGGTAAGACCTTTGTTTCTATTTTTTTTGCCGACCTTATTTCCAACCTCATTTTTCCTACTTCCGAGGGTTGATATATATATATATATATATACATATATATATATATATATATATATATATATATTATATATATATATATATATATATATATATATATATATATATATATATATATATAATATATACATATGTGTGTGTACTTTTTTTTTTTTTTGTATTTTTTGTTAGATTGTCTATTCAATATAAGTTGTGAAAGAATTATAAAAAATTATAATTCCAATAATAGTGATATATAGTTGTCTGCTTCACTTTAAGTACTTAAAGTACTTAAATATAATATGTAAACTTTGAATTTTTTATTATTATTATTATTTTTTTGTGGCTACTGGCCTATCATGTCTTCTATATTTGCGCTATTCTTAGTTTCACAGTGTGATGGTCTTGTACCATTTTCATTGTTACATCATGTTTTTAACAAAACAAGATTGTTTTCTGTTATTATTAAAGATATCTTTTGTAGACTTCAACAGTGCACTACACAAAATAGGATGACATAATTGTATTATAAATATGTAATTACATTTATAATAGACTAATGTGTATAAATAGTGAAGTAATACATCAAATAAAGGTATATATATAAGTAAAATAAAAAATAGTATATATAAATATGTGAGCATTATTGTGTTAGACTTTTGAAAACCTTCTAAGTCTTGGTCTTGAGTTGACTTTTTGATGCCTTGGTTTTGGTATTGGTTTTGGAATCTTAGTTGTTGGTCTTGGTCTTAGTCTTGATCTTGACCTTTAATGTCTTGACTATATCTCTGATATATATATATATATATATATATATATATATATATATATATATATATATATATATATATATATATATATATATATATATATATATATATATATATATATAGATAGATAGATAGATAGATAGATAGATAGATAGATAGATAGGTATATAGATATAGAGATATAGAGATATAGATATATATTGTTAAAAATAATAATTATGATTAAGATATTTTTTAAATAGTTAAATGTGTTGTATTTTTTAGGCTCAGCTGAGAAATCGTTTGGCTCAAGAATTGCAAGGAAAAATTGGTGCAAAAAGAAATAATGAAAAATCTCAGCAAGATTCTTCTTCAATATTTTTGCAGGTTGCAAATAGTGTGGTTGCAAATCACTTACAGTCTTGTTCATATGATTATACATTTTCTGTTTTCATTTCTGAAGGTCTTGGAAGTTTAGACAAAGTAAACACCAATTATCTGGTTGTCTATGTGTTAGTGTGATGTAACTGTAATTATGTTTCCTTGTTTTTGCAATTTAAAAAAATAAGAACTTAAAAGCTTAGAAGAACACAAACAAAAAAATTATAAAATTTATATTTATTTGCTTTAAGTTTTTTTTTTAATTATATGATAAATAGATAATTGTCTAATAATTGATTTATATCAATTATTAGACAATTTTTTTTTTAAGATTTTAAAGGATTTTTTTTTAATTTATAGATAATCTCACTTAAAGAAGTACTTCAAATGCTTCACATTCATTCTGAATCAGTATTTTATAAAACCTTAGTATGTTTTTTGTTTTTTTCATTCTGGTTATACTATTCTTCGTTTATGTTTATTAGCAAAATGATTTACAAAAGTCTATTTTTGTTGTAGTTACAAAGTGTAAAGAAATGAGAAAATCAAAATGCTTTTATATTTGTTTTTGTTATTTCTTTTGTTTTAATTTTTTTTATTTTTATTCTATTTCTTTTTTTTTAGTAATAAAATAAATAATGAAATCAAGTACAAGTGATAAAATCATCACAAAAAATAAATAATTTATACTGAATAATTTAAACAGTAATTAAAACAGTATTGAATAATTTAAACAGTACAAATTATTCAAAAGTCTGCCCATATCATTTTAAAGTTTTTTTATTTTATTTAGAACCAAATTTCAGCTTCACAAAATAGCTCAGGTATACTTTATTAAGTGTTCAGTTTCAAAAAAATAGTTTAGGCTTTATCTACCTTTTAAAATGATATTAGTTTGAAGTTTATATTTCATTATACACCTTATAAGGTGGATATTTTAAAAACTTAATTGCGATTAAAGTGTGCAAAAATCTGCATGCATCAAAATATAAATTTTTATCCTTTGTATACACATATTTCTTTTCAGATAACTTTAATGAGTGACATAATAATAGTAATTAGAAATAATAAGAAACATAGTAATAGCCTTAATAATGATAGCCACGGTTCAGTGTTTGGAAATCTTGCTCAAAACCAAGAGTTTTAAGTTTTGATGCTCTGACCAGATAAGTGACATTGGAAAGGAAGAAGGCATGAATTCCTGGTTAAATGCACTTCTTTAGGTTCTTTAAAGGCATTTTTGTATTATTACTTGAACTAAATGCAATAAGCTAGTTCTCAATTAGTTTTGAGACTCCCAGATTTTACTAATAGGCCCTATATTTCTCATGAAGCTCCTAATAAATGCCCTATTTAAAGTTGTTGAATTTTTATCATCTCTACTCAAAAATGTATCCGTTTAATTACTAGAGATGAAGGCAAGCTTGCTAGAACCATTCATAATGGCTTTAAAATTGTCGAATTTTCGGAAAAATTTTTTTTTTAAAAATACTTATCCTCAAAATTTACATAACTTTTTTCAATTAAAAAAGCTTTGGACTTTTTTTATTTTAAGTAAACATATTAAATTAGTGCTTATAAAAAGTAAAAGATTGTTTGATTTTCTGATTTTTGCATTTACTAAACGGCAGTTATTGTTAAAAAAAAAAACCCAGCTGCGACCATGTATTCTTTATGATATATTTTTTAGTTCAAAATCAACGACTTTTTTTGCTTTTATAAAAAGACCAATTTAAAGTTAAGATATTTGTTTAAGGAATATAGTTTTTTTTTTTAACTTTATTAAACACATCAAACTGTTTTTGTTTAAAATAAACTTTTTTTTATTATTTTAATGTTTTCTAAAAAGGAAAAAAAAAGAAAATCATTTCACTATAAATAAGTAAAAATCAAATATTTAAGTATTCGATTCCAACCAAATGTCGCTCTCTTGAAATTGGAATTAATATTATTTAGGAAGTATAACGATTGTTTAATACAATTAAATAAAATCAGCTGCGACTAGCTACTTAGTAAATAATTGCAGCAATTTGATTAAAAACTTGTAACGTTAAAAACTTTGAAAAACCTTAAGCATAAAAAATTAATGTAGAAACTGTAAGAAAATTGAAGTTAGACACCTCCACATACTGTAAGGGTTAGAAATAATTAAACTATTAGTCATTAACATCCTTCATATAAACTTCTAGTGAATTGCACTTAATATATTTTATATTGTTAATGTAAGATAGTCATTTAAAAATTAAAATTTATTTTTATTAGCTCAAGGTTAAAACTTTAATCCTATTTTACATATTAGTGCACATAATAATTTTGCTTAAATCAAATGGTAAAAATAATATAAATAAAATCTTAGTATTTTCAAAGTCGACATTGTAATAAAATGGCAAATCAGTGTTTTCATTTTCAGATGGTTAAATAATATCATTGTGCTCATTTAAATTTCTTATTTCATTTATGTTTATTGGTTTTAGTTTCTCATTTATATCATCAAAATCATCATCCTCATCCAACTCATTATATTCTTCATCCGCATAAATATTATCATTAGCATCATTTGTATTTTGCTTTTCAGTTTCTTGAAAAAGAAGATCAACTGCGTTTCCATCTAGATTCATTTTTTTATGTTTACATTTCGATATTGCATAGAGATGAAAGAATTGGGTCACTCGAAAGCATTAAATAATTGAATTGGTCCGTCATTGTAGCTTTTCGATCAAATTTACAAGTTTGCTGTAAATGAATATTTTTATTGGCTTTATTCAGAGCTTCAATTGCTTCTTCAGAGTACATTCCAATTGGTAGCATAAATCTAGTTATTGTCAGACTACTATGAATGAGTAGCATGTGTACTGAGGCTGACACGTAAAACCATGATTACTCTTGAACAAAAATATTTGCAGTTTCCAAACAATATGTTTCATATTTGGCTATGTTAATTTTTTAATTTAAATTAATGACAGATAGAATAATGTATAGCCTGTAGATTATATCTTTCTTGACTCCTGTTATTTGCGAAAACTCTGCGTGCTGACAAAAAGCACGATGAGCAGTATTGCCATCATTTGATGTCCCAGATCCGCTCTGAAGAGACATGTCAACAATGAGGCCAATTTTTGCAAACTTTTATATTTTCAGGTCCACGTTTTTGCCATTCTTTAATATCAAGTCTATAACTTATATGTAGAATACACGAAACATCGAATCCATGCATGTAATAATGATAACCCAAGCTCTAAGCTTTGGGAATCCGTTGAACGAATCAGAGCTTTATCTAAGTTATTCATTGATCTAGGAGTACATTTGAAAATATTACAAATTTGAGCCAATTTATTGTCACAAATTGTATTTACTGCTTTTCCATCAATCATTCTAAGCATAAGATTGAAGCTTAATTTAATTACAAGCTTCTTTTCAGCTTCTAGTTCCATTATTACTACATCAATAACAATTGCACTCTCCTCAAGCAAATCGATTTGCTTGTCAAAGTATTTTTTTTCTTCTCTTAAAACTAAAGGGTTTTCTGCAATATACAGAATTCTTAGTGGGCGGCAGAATCGCGTTGAAGAAGGCACTTGATTTTCCCGAATTGTCATAACACCATACAATAACTTAATTGACACTAGGCAAGTAGAAAACAAGTTTTGATCAGACATTAGAATTCTACATTCAACATTGTTGTTTATTTGGACGTAAAATTTTTGTTTATACTTTTTTTTTTTTTTTTATTAAACATTTTTATAAGATAACTTAACTATTTATGAGATAAGAGTTTTAATAATGCTACTTCAAGAAAAAACTTAAATATCTAAAATTGAGTGTAAATTTATTCAAATAATTTTATTACTTTCAGAACATAATTGCAATCAAATCACTGCAATTATCAAGTATAATCACATAATCATATAGTATCATATAAACTTCAAATTTCCAGACAAATAATTTTTTTCATGTCACAATGCATTGTAAAGTAAGAATTAAATTAGCCTAAAATCTTGAAATTTCAAAATCGATTTTAAGTCTAAGTTATAGCTAGTCACAGCTGATTTTATTTAATTGTATTAAACAACCGTTATACTCTTATCATTATAGGATAAGTATTTTTGAAATTTTTTTTTTTCCAAAAATTCAACAATTTTAAAGCCATTATGAATGGTTCTAGCAAGCTTGCCTTCATCTCTAGTAATTAAACGGATACATTTTTGAGTAGAGTAAAGCACTTATGTTTCAATAACAAAACTAAAAAAAAGTTTAGAAGATTTGACTTTTTTGAGACTTTTGGCCACAGAAAATTTTTTTGGCCCACTGTGCACTGGGTAGGATAAAAACAGAAGCTAGTTGCAAGACAATTAATATAACTAAAATGGTAGTGGTGCAGGGAATTAGCGCATGTTTTATGCTATTGTTAAGACAACTTGTTGCAGTCCTCGGAATTTGGGTCGGCAATCGGCAATGCCAAACTAACTGAAGCAAAAAATTGCCAACCTTGTTTCTATGTTTTATGGTAACCTCTTTGTTTCAATTTTTTTTGCCAATATGATGCCGACCTTTAACAGTTTGAGGTCTGCAATTTTGCTGACCCATTTTTTCTAATTCTGAGGTTTGTTGTTGTATGTTATGTTTGTATGTTGAGGCAATGTTGTTGTAAAGACAAGACTAGTTGTATTGTTAAGACAACTAATATAACTAAAAGGATAGTGGCGTAGGGAATTAGCACATGTTTTCTATATGAAAGGTTTTAATTTTTTTTGTATAATAAGCATTCTTTATAAGTAAATTGATGTTGTATGTAAGAATAAAGAAAGTATAAAGATCATTTTTATTGTAGGTTTTTTATGGTGTTTACTTCAGTACATTTCTGAATCATTTAATAATGATGTAAAAGATATCGGTGTTCAAACTAATCACATTGAAACAGAATTTCAAGAGTCATTAGGTAAGTTTTTGTTTTTTTAGTTGCTTCATATTATTTTTATGACTATAATAAATTATTTTTATTTTTATGATTTTAAATTTATTATTTTTTTTATGATTTTAAATTTTTTAACTTTTGTTTAAAGACCAAAAATTACTTGACGTAGAAAGATTTCAGTATAAGAAGATTCAACATCACCTTCAAGAAGAAGCTGAATCACTAGAAGCAAAGGTTTTGGTATTTCAGCGTAAATATGACATGCAAAAAAGAGCAGAACTTGAGGCTGAAGTAAATTGATTTATCTTTACTTTACATTTTAACTTTTTTTTTTTATATATATATATATAATCATACAGTTCAGTTTTTACTTACACATACAGTTAAATTCAACAAACAGTTAATGCATATTTACATAATATGATAATATATTTTATTTTGTTTCAGTTATCTGAAAGAAATTTTTTAATAAAGCATACAATAGTTAATACTATTGCTTTCAGTTTGTCAAATATTCACCCAATATTGTATAAAAAAGTATATCTTCCATCTCTGTGATTAATTAATAATGTTTAGAAACAGATAAAAATGGCTCATTTAGTTTGCATTTTTTTACAAGTATCTGTTTTCTATATTAGTTTTCTAATTTAATTTACAATATATTTAATAAATAAATTATTATTTTTTCTAACATCTGAAATTCAAAACAGTTATAATTAAAAATGTGAACCTTGAGCTGACAAAAATACTGAGTTTTTTTTTCTTACCTTTTCCTCACCTGCTTTATTGTGTGTCGAAGAGTTTTTGTAGATAATGGGTTGTATTATGTACAAGAAGGTATGTTTTATACACTATTTTCAATTTTTTTTTGCTTTTATCATTATTTTTGTCTAGTAGCAAATCAACTTAAGCTATAGCATCGTTAGATAAAACAACACTAAAAAAATAAGCTGTAGACATCTCAGAAGATCTCAGAAGTTTTTTATCACATGAGGTTTTGAAGTTTTTTCAAATAATCAAAAAACAGTGTTTTATAAAATATTATTTGAAAAATGGTGCTATTTTTTTCTGTTATTTTTCATTCAATAACTAATTTTATTTGTTACCTTAATTTGTTTTATTTTCATACACCTCCAAATTTTTTTATGTTTAATTAAATTTTCAGATTACTGTTAACGAGAGTTAATGTTAAAGAGTTTATTATATTACTTAAAAATGAATTTAATTCAAATTATTAAATATTACCATACATCTATTATTTTCATTTTTTGTATTTATATAAGTAAAAACTTAAAAGCAGACAAGCAATTTATACTTTAAAAATTGATTAGTTGTTGGTTTGTTTTTTAAAATATTGGCTAATGATCGATTAAGTTGCTTGGAATATTGTAATACTTCTTATTTTTTTTAAATTCGTTTAAATTTCCAACAATCACAGAAAACATTAAATAGCTCAACAACCACAAAAAAACTGGTAATTACCTTAATAATTTTTTTTTTTTGATTTTTAATACGCTAATTACTATGCTTACAACATTGGTTCTTGTGTCTGAGAAACTTATAATGATTTTTAAGTTAATTAAAGGAACTTACTGATAAATAATATATATATTTTACTTTTTTTTTTTACTTATTTTTAGGGCGTTTGTTATTTTCCACTACCAAAATTGATACAAGTTGAGGAAAAATACAGATTAGAATATAACAAAAATAAAAACATTTTTTGATATACTAATTTTTTGCGAATTTTTTCAGTCAATATATTAAGGAAATACTTTATCATTTGCGCTAAAAACATGGACTTTTTAAATTTGTTTTTCAAATGTCTTTGCTAAACTTTACTGTTTTTGTCAATGTACAGGAAAGCAAGAAAACTAATTGCTATTTATTTGTTAAAATTTTTTTTTTAAACAAGTTTTTCATGTAAAAGAATAAAAAGTCATTAATTTAATTAATATTTAAATATAAAATATTTGGTTGTTAACAAAATTTTTAGGAGCCTATATAAAACTTTTAAGTTTTTAAATACATTTTTTTCAAACAGAGCAATGTGGGCCAGCCACAAAATTTTGACATGATCCAATCTGTCTAAATATCATATACCCATATTCTATATATATATATATATATATATATATATATATATATATATATATATATATATATATATATATATATATATATATATATATATATATATATATCACAGCTGTTTCAGAGTGAGCTTTATGGCTTCTTGTTTTTTTTTTTGAAAATTTAAATGTAAGGGGTGTTACTAAAATAATTATAACTTTTGAAATATTAAATATAATTTTGTTTTGTAAAAGGAATAAAAACAACAATAAAATGTTTTATCATATGACATTTTATATAATAGTAAAAAAACTTCTTTTAGTTTAGGAAAAACGCAACAAATGATGAAATTGGCTGAACTTTAGTAATTTGTTGTTACTTTTTATCAACAAAAAAATTGAAAATATATATTTCTAATATTTATTAACAAGTTATAAACATTATTAGACTATTATAAAAACAAAAAAAATATTACTCAAACTTTATGTTAATTGAAACAGAGATAATTATGTCATAAAATAAAATCGCAAAAAAATGTTAGAGAAAATGTTTTAAAGTTGAATGTTTTACGCCATTGCTTTAATTATGTAAACAAAAATTTACGCAAAATACTAGAAAAAGTTCCTAGACATGCCAAGTTTGAAAACATTTTCGCTAACATGGCAAAAGGTATATAAAATAATTTTTATATTTTCATCTGCATAAAAGGTCAAAATTTCAATAACTTAAGTCATCCATCAATAAAATTAAATTTTACATTTAAAAGAGATAAATTTAAATGTATAAATGCATTAAAAACTAAGTTATAGTAAAAGAATCACCAGGATGACGTAGGAATCCAATAGAATAGACATTCATTGATAAGTGTTCCAAATTTCAACCATCAATCATGTAGCTATGTTAGCGAATCTTGGTTGGCCCAAGACAGGTTTTCCGTAAAAATCGCTAAAAACAGAAAAGTGATCCAAAATCATTTAAAATATTTTAACAATGTTTATTTTTATTTCGTTTAACGTAAATATTTACTTAACAAAGAAAGATTGTTCTTTTATATTTTTTTTATTCAAAGATGAAAGCATTTATAGAAAAAAAATACTATTAATTTAAAGTTAGTGAATTTTTATACTTTTTATGCGGAAATTCTTTTTTTTTATTTTAAACAAAAATTCTTATGACGTCAAGCTCGCTTTTATATTGAGTGAAACAGCCGTGATATATATATATATATATATATATATATATATATATATATATATATATATTTATATATTTCTGGAGTTATTTTATTATATTTGTTGTTAAATAGTTCTTGATCATTTTTCCTGAATGGCTTTATGATAATTTGGTGGAAAGTTTACAGCTTTTTTATAACTTTGTTCACATTGTTACACAGTTTTATTTAATTATTTTTCCATTACAACAGTATTGATTGCTATTTTATTACAATTTAACATTTAAAAGGTAAAACTTAGCCACAGTCATGGATGCTAACGTCATTTTAAGGTGTAATAAATGAATATTAGAATAGGTATAACACAAAAGTTGAATTTATTAATTAAATGCATCTTTTTTTGGTCAGGTTAGGGCAGCAAATGAACGGTCATAAACTGTTCTTTAACATGTAAGGAAGCCAAAACACTTGGTTTTATGGACATATTCAAGGCGTATTCAAGCTACACATTGAGTACAATTTGGTTGCTATGGTACCAAGTTTTAGATAGCAACAACTTATTTTTACATTAATGTTATTTTAACAGTTTTTATTTGTGCTATGTACACTATATTAAATATGTGTATTAAAATGAGATTCACACTCCTTATGGAAGTCATAATTTCATTACATTTTAACATTTAAAAGATAATACTTAGCTACAATTATGGATGCTAATATCATTTTAAGCTGTAATAAATGAATAATAGAATTGGATATTTCAATGATGTTTGGCACATTTAAATAAAATTATTTAAATGTGCCAAATATCATTGAAATAACCATAGTAGATGATAAAGTGGCATTAGCCTTATCAGTCGAGACCAATGCATCACAGTCCTGCTCAGTGTGTGGCAGTACACCAAAAGAGATAAACAATATTGAAAAAATGATAGCAAAAATTGAAAATGCAAACTACTTTGGTAATCAGTGTGGCTTGTCATTATTACATGCATGGGTTAGAACAATCGAATGTTGTCTTCACCTTGCCTTCAAATTGGATAACCAAAGGTGGCAGGCGCCTAGCACAAAAGAAAATTTATGACAATTATCTGTGACAACAAACAAAAAAAGAATCCAAGATGTCTTTAAAAATTGTTTTGGATTAGTTATTGATGTGCCCAGATCTGGTGGTTCTGGAATATCCAATGATGGAAATACAGCTCATCGTTTTTTCAATCTGAAAAGTATTGTGGCTGAAATTTTAAAGCTGGATGTACTACTGCTGAAAAAGTTGCATGTCATCTTGGTCACATTGTCTCTAATTAATTATTATAATATTAATAAATACTAATAAATAATTATATTAAAACATTGTCTGCTAATTAATGCAGATGCATGTCAAAAGTATTGCCTTGAGGTAAGTTTATTTGTTAATATTATTTCTCAAATAATATTAACAAATAAACAAATTCTCAAAATTCAAAATCTCAACTCCCAGAAGGACTTAGTGATTTCTTATTTTATGCATGTACATATGTTTAATAAATTATTAATGTGTTTCAAATCGACAATGTTTAATTGCAATATTTTTTGTTTTTATTATTAATAATCTAAATCTTTACCTAAAATTTAATGTTGAGTCTATTATCTTTTTAATGTTGAGTCTATTATAATTATGAATAGCTAGCTTAATAGTTATTTAAAATAGGATGGTTGAAAATCTGATAAAAGTTTCAATTCAAAAATCCATTTATCTTTGTGTAACTGAGGAAAGTATCTGGTGGTTAAGCAATATAGGTATCCATAGCAACTAACTCAAAAAAACTATGACTTCCATTTAAAGTATAATCTTGTATTTGTACTCATGCCAAATTTAGTGAATATAGCACTCGTAAAAAATCTGCAACTATCAAAATAGGTTGTTGCTATGTAAATTAGATATCCATAAAAATAGGTAACCATAGCAACCAAATTATAAATATCTTCTCATAAGAAGAGCAAACCTCATATTGATGCACAAACTAATTATAATGTAAATAATACGCATAACACATCTGCAACTACCAAAAATAGGTTGTTAAGCAAAAATAGGTATTCATAGCAACCAAATGTAAAATATCACTTTTATAAGAAGCGCAGACAATGTCAAATTTAGTAGGTAAAGACCTAATATTTAACTACTTATTAATTTTGTCCATTAAAAGTAAATTCTGACCCACTGTGGAGAACAATCGTTATGTTCATTATCTTTTGTAATTTGTATTAACATTGGAAATTGAACAATATAAAAGAAACAATTTCAGACATGCATTAAATGATGTAAATACATTTAATAAAAAAACCATGTTATTCTTTTTTTTAAATTATTCCGTCATTACAAAATTTATTAATCAACTAATATATTTTACAAATAAATAGCAATTTATTTTCTTATTTTCCTTTTATATAAATATTAAGAAAAAACTAGAGGTGTGCCAGGTATTTTTGCCGTATATTTCGAATAATAAACTTTTCTCAAGTTCTATAAATGTTTATGAAGTTAAAACAAGTTTTGCCATTCTACATTAAATAGTGTTAAAGATTTAAAAAAATAAAATCAATAAAAAAACTGGTATAACACAGGTATATGCGTTAATAATGTATAAAGAAAAATCATTTTTTATAGCCAAATTTTTTTTTTTTTTACTACTATTTTCTATACATATCCCATGTCATACAGTTTTTTTTTGATTTTTTTGAAGTAAGATCTTGAATACTATTTATTGTAGACTGGCAAGACTTATTTTTTCTACATAAACACTTATAGAACTTTAGAAAAATTCACTATCCGGCATATCTGGCAAAAATATCTGGTACACCTCTAGAAAAAACGTCAAATATAGCAAAAACATTTATAAAAGTGAAAAGACGTCAAAATGAATAAACGTAAGAAAAAAATTTTAAAAATTTCTCATAGTTCTAGCGTACATAAGCGTACATAAGCGAGGTTCAAACAGAACACACATATATATATGTATATCAACCCTCGGAATTAGGGTCGGCATTCGGCAATGCCGACCTAACTGCTGACCTAAATGTGTTTGTGGTCGGCAAAAAAAATTCAGTTTTGCCGACCTCGTTTCGATGTTTTATGGTAAGACCTTTGTATTTGCTGACCTGATGTCAACCTCTAAAAGATTAAGGTAGGCAAATTATTGCCGACCTAAATTTTCCTAATTCCGAGGGTTGATATATATAATTCCGAGGGTTGATATATAATTACAAGGGTTGATATATATTTGTCAGGAAGTATTTTTATATTCTGTTGTCAGAAATCCAAATTGTTTTCAATATATTTAGACCAATAGCTTTTTTATTCTCTCTAAAAATAAAAAGGTTGGATAGAGTAACATCGATTTGTCACTGTCACATGTGACACTTAATTTTGTAATAGAATAAAAGCAAAACATACATGTGGAATTGTTGTATAGTGAAAATTAAAATGCTAAAATTTTAAAGTTCAAAGTATATAAAATTCTTTCTTTTTTTTTAAATTTTATAGATAATTAGATTCTGTTTAAAAAATAAATGGTTTGTTAAGTAGGGATTATTACTTGTGAAGTTTTTCTATAATTTTTTAGTAAATTAATTTAGTTGTTGTCATTCTTTTATATTATTTTTATCTTTTTTCATACTTTAGATAGAAAGGTTTCGATCTTCAGAACTTGCTATGATGAGAATTGAAGAAAGAGAAAAATGCAACAAAGAAATTTCTAATATCCAAATTGAGGTAATTAAATAAAAATAATAAATAATAATTTAGTAAAAACAAAAAAATGTTAAAGAAATGACCAAGATGTGACCATGGATTCTCACTTAAATCACAGTAGTCATATTTCAAATATCGTCCGCGCATCAAACATTCGAGGATATCTAATCGAAGATAAAGACGTTTTACCAAGAGAATTTCTAACCTAAATAATGTTTCATATTCAAGTTGACTTAGTATTCTTGGTTTGGAACTACTAGAAATTCGTCGCCTTAAGCAAGACATGATTACATGTTACAAAATTCTGAACAATTTAGTTTGCCTAAATAAATCAAGTTTCTTTTTATTAAACAACTATATTTACACTCAAGGACATAATTTCGAATTACGCAAACTAAAATGTAAACTCAGTGTTCGTAAATACTCTTTCTCACTCAGGGTTGTTAATATTTGGAATAACTTGCCGTCTGACGTCGTGAACCCCAAAAATATAAAGAGCTTCAAAATTAAAATTAACTCTATCGACTTTGAAAATACTGTTCTGGCTAACTGATTTTTGTTTTATAACTATGGTCTTATATATAATTGTAATATATATTTTAATTTATCTAGCATATGTATTATGTGATTGTAGGGCACGTTGTCAGAGTCCTTCATATTTTATGGACCTGCATGTCCTTTAGAACATGTATCACTGTTCTAATAAATTTTAATCTAATCTAATCTAATCTAAATAAAATAGTTTCTCAGCAATAATAGAAAAACATCCATTTTTATTACAAACAAATTTTCAAAATCTTTATAAAAATTTTTTTGTAAACCAGATTAGTTTTACCCAAGATGTTAAGGGCTTGAATCCAAATATCTTTAAAACTTTATCTGATAGAAGAAAAAAAGTTGCATTTTGAAATTAAAATGAGACATGCTATACCAAAATTGTATTGTTTTCTTGGCAGCAGAATCAACCCCCCCCCTCCCTTAAATTTTCTAAAATTTTGTATAACTATCATAATTTTTAATTGTTTTTAATTTTTAATTTAAAACTTTTATTATTTTTAAATATTTTAAGTTTGAGAAAACATACAGCAAAAAGTTGAAAGATCTTGATAGAGAGCTGGAAGAAGTGAAACGAAAATCTGAAAATCAACAGCAGGTAAATTTTTTTAAATTTATTTTGATAAAAAATACAAAAATGTATTTTTTCTATTATTGTGATTCAATTAGATTTGTTCAGTTATTTCAACTATTTCTAATTAGTTACAGCAAAGCTATTAACTATTTACCATAATATCGAATATTATGGTAATTAGTTAACATATTAGCTAGATATGGATAAATACATTTGCGTAAGAGATTAAGCAAAAATAGTTGATCTACCCTATTAGCTTTTGTTAATGAAATGCAAATGCTATAAAAGTTAGTTTAAAAGTTAAAAGTTTTATACCCTCCTTGTAATACCCTGTATTACAAGGAGGATATCTTGCTTTTGGGGAGGTGAGTGTATAATAAAAAGTATAAATTTATCTACCCAGTTTGTTTAGATGGTTAAAGTTAGTAAAAAAAAGTTGTATTAAATTTTTTACAGGCACTTGATAAGGAAAGTTTTGAACAAAGACAGAAGATTTTATTAGAGCTGCAAACATTAAAAGAGCGTGAGCTTGAAGTTAAAAGAAATCAAGATATAGCTCTTAGGTATGTTTCAAAATAGTTGTTAAGTTTTGAAAAAATTATAAATATTTTTATTTACTTTTATATTTTTTTACTACATATTAAAATTATAATTTAGTTTCTAAATCAAAATGAAATAAAAAAATTGTAATTAAATTTTTAATGTTTAAATTTTTATTTTGTTTTATGAATACTAAATTACCAAAGAAAATAGTTTTATAAAATATTTGTAAGCAACAACAAGAGATTATCTTCAATTAATCTTTTATTAAGAGTTGTTAAATATTTAATATAATATTAATAAGATTTGAATTAACTAACATCACAAGATTAAAATATTTTTAACTTTTGGGCAGCTTTTCCAACTAATGAGAAAATATGTGTTTTAATATCATGCTTCTATATGAAAATATATTGTATATATCAAACTACAGGGTAGCCAGTGGTCCTTAAAAACCTTGAAAACCTGGAAATTTCCTGGAATTGGGTAGGTCCTGGAAAAGTCTTGGAAAAACACCCCTTTTAGCAATAAATCCTGGAAATCTTTGAACTTTTTTCTGAAATACTTCAATATTTCATTATCATGTTTTTACAGAAATATTATTAATATTGCGTAAATTTCTTCTGAATTTATTAATTATGTATATCTGACTTGCAAAAAAATTTTTGTTAACTGTTACTGTCAGTATTACTAAGATCTAGTAGTTATTAAATATATATATATATATATATATATATATATATATATATATATATATATATATATATATATATACATATATATATATATATATATATATATATATATATATATATATACATATATATATATATATATATATATATATGTATATATATATATATATATATATATATATATATATATATATATATATATATATATATATATATATATATATATATATATATATTGCCTAATACAAAGAACTGTCATTTTCAAAACAGAATGGCTATACAACAAAAACTTCTTGGGTAAAATTTTGTGTTTCAATTCTAAAAAAGCAAGCTATAGTTTTTGCAGAACAGATATTAATATTTCTAACATGGGAGTATCTGGCTTGGATTCTCATCCAACTAGTAAAAAGCATAAATTTAATGCAAAGACACATAATGCAGCAGAAATATTCTTTACTGGTAGTTTATTAGTTTTTTATTTTAATTTAAGTTTTTTTTACTTTTATTTAAATACGTTTTCCTGAACTTCGGAATGCTTGTAGCAAATTAAGTGGCTGTGTTCTACCAGTAACTTACATAAAGGTTCTCTTAATTTAAAAAAAACAACTATAAATCTGGTTACCAAGAAAAACAACTATAAATCTGGTTACTAAGGCAGAAATAATATGGAGCTTGAATGTAGTAATGTCACATTTTTTATTAAGATCATGCTTAAATTTAAATGAAATATTCAAATTTTCTGATTATTCTAAGACAGTACCAAAGTTTGCATTTAGTTTAACAAAGTTTGAAGTAGAGAAATCAAATAACCAACTAGAAGTAGAGAAATCAAATAACCAACTAGAAGTAGACCATATTGACATAGAATAGCACTAAAATACTAAGTTCTCTTCATTGTTAACCAGAAGAGAAATTAGAATTTAAGAAAGAATGTAGGCAGATTGTCATAATGTTATTGCAAAAGTTACAAGAAAGATGCCAATTAAAGTATTCTTTAAAGAGGATTGCTTCATCTTTGTCTCCAAATGCAATGGTTTAAAACAAGGAAGTATCCACTCTGAAATTCAAGGGTCTTGCTGAGAGATTAAGTGCATTAAAATGGCTTTCAAATGACAATGCAGATGATGCAAAACAACAATTTGATGAAATGTGTTCAATTTAGAATCTTTGAAATGATAATAAATAAATTTGAGTCCTTTAATGAATTAACTGATTCTGTTGATAAATTTCTTGGCATCTGTTTGCACCAAAATCAAAAGTATTCAGTATTGTGGAAAGTCTGTGCTATCATTTTTGTTTTATCTCATAGCCAGTAGGCAATAGAACAAGGATTTAGTGTTAACAAGCAGTTGTTAGTAGAAAATCTACAAGAAAGATCTCTTGTTTCCCAAAGAACAGTTTATAAGCACATCAATTCCCATGACATTGTTATTCATCAGAATGAGTTTCCTAGTGATCTTTTAAAAAGTTGATGGTTAGCATAAAATAGGTACAATTCAGTGTTGAAGGAAAATAAGGATCAGTTAAAGGTAGACAAAGTTAGCAAGAAACTTAAATTGATTGATGAAGAATTTGTAATTATAAAGAAACAAAATTTTTTTTTTGCAAAATGCATCAAAGTTCTTAAAATTGATGTTGACAAGTTAAAAAGAAACTGGCTTTAATTGCCAGTTCTTTTAGAAAAAGAACTGGCAATTAAAGACCTTAATATTTCACTAAAAAAACTTGAACAATCTAAGAAAGAGATAATTATTAGAAGTGTTTGATAACCTAGCGTATCTATATATATACAATATAAAATATTTTTTTACTTGTACCATACTATATTCAACTATATTACAACATATATTTATATTTATATATAGAATATATTTTGAAGACAAAATATTTTGTTTTTTTTCTCGTTGAGAAAAGAACAATATATCCTTGAAAAACCCCAAGTTGTCCTTAAAAAGTCCTGGAAATATCCTGGAATTTTAAATTAGCTTTTGGCTGGCCACCCTGAACTAATATTATTGCATAAAAATATTATGCAATACTAGCTTGATATGCTGTGTTATATTGTAATAATATTAATAATAATAATAATTTTATAACTTGCTGTTGTTACATTTGTTTTCTTGTGATGTAAAATATTTTGAGCAATAACTTTAAGTCAAAGATTTTGAACAATAACTTTAAGTAGAAGAAATAGTTATTGCAAAATTAATTTTTTATTTTAATTATTAATCAAGAAATTTAGAGACATATGAAAAAGAATTAAAATTAAAGACGGATCAGTTACAATTTAAGGAAGAAACGATGAAGCAACATGAAGAAATCTATCAACTTCGATTAAAAGATGAAATTAAAAGGTAATTTAATTTTTAAGTGAAATTTCGTATTTCTTATATTTTTATGTTTTAAAGTGAAATTTAGAATTACTTATACTTTTATAAAGCAAAGGAAGCTATGTAACATATTTTATCAAAAATCTTAAATCTAGAATTAAACTTGAAATGATTGAAGATGAAACAGAAAAAAAAAAGAAGCTTGAGCAACAGGAGCAGGAGTTAAAAGGTTTTATTTATAATTATGCAGTTTGAAATCATTTTGTTGGTAATTATAGTTAAAGTTGAGTTGTTTGTTGCTGTTTATTTATTTATTTTTACTAAAAGAGGAAAAAATTCAATTTGCTGCTCAGAAAGAAATGTATATGAAATGGAAAGAAGAAGCAGACTCATGGAAAATTCAAAATCAACAGTTAAATGTTTGTGTTTATACCTGTATATTATTATATTTTTAGATTGTTTTTATTATATTACTCATGCTTGTAACTGGTTATTCAGATTAAAGTTTACTTTTTGGAAAAAAAAAATAGAAGTTTGTTAAATTTCAAAAAAGACTATTGACAATTTTTTTCTCAGTAGCATAAAAATTCAAGAAAAATTTTATTTTTATTTTTTAGTTTATGTTTAATAACTAGCCTGTCCCCGGTAGCCTGGCACCTGTAGCTTTTCCCTTCAAAACATGGGGATGAATATACACAGAATCTATATTATTAAAAAGAAAGAATTCACAAAAATAGAATTAACAAATTTGATAAATTAAAAATATAATTAAGCTTTATGTAACTTTTTTTTAACTCAACATCTACATAAATCATATGATTTTATATTCTATTTTAAAAAATAGTATGGTTAACAAAATGATAAAGTAAATAAATAATTGACTAGGGTAAAAACAAAGGTTTTTTTGTTTTTATTAACTGTTTTTATTATTTTATTAACTGTTTTTTTTATATAAAAGTTTTTTATTTTATTTTATGGCTCTCAAGATTGAAGCCAATTTTTTTATTGACAGCTTCAATTAATGGGATCTAAACAAACAGCAACTTTACTTCAAGAACAACTTTTTCATCTTCAAAATCAATTAAGTAAGGTAAGTGAGACCAATAATATTTTTAGTCATTTTTAAAGTTTTTGTTGCTAAATTTTAAATTGTTTTTAGATTGAAAATTATAAATTGCTTAAAATGGAAAACCTTAATTTGAAAAAAGACATAGAGTGCTTAAAAGAGTAAGTTTTTAAAAGTTGGCTTTAGTATTTCAAGTTTGATATTTCTTTGAATTCAGCCCCCTAAATATGCTATTTTAAGATAAATTTAAAAATCTTTATTTGTCTATTTAAGTTCACCATAAAAAACTTATTAAGACTTGTATAACATAAATATGATATACTTATATCATACAGTTATTAATAAGGTTTTTTTGTGGTGGTCTTGATATCCCAACAATTATTAATGTTTTTTTATGGTGTAGTTGTCATCATAACAATTTTTCTTGAGACATAATACTCTAAATAGCATATGATAATTTCAATACAAGTGAAAACTTGATTTTACTTTTGTCAAATATTTAGAGCAGTCAGATGCAGTAATTAGAACGTTTATTTCAGAATCAAGAGGTCGTAGGTTCAGTGCCTGCTCTGGCTGTATTTACAACATTAGGGATGGGGGGGGATGTATTTTTTAATTGAATACTTTTTCACAGTTTTTTCTGTGACAATACCCTTAAATCTTTATAGAGCATTTTAATAAATAAAAAAGAAAAGTTACATAAAGAAAGTTAAAAGAGTTAACATAAATCCACTCAATCCATTTTCTTGGGTGGATCTATATTTAATTTTGTAGGATAAAGTTTAAATTTTGATAAGGAATATTTATTTTATTTAATAATATTTTTACAACTGTTACTCTTTAATGTTTGATTTGTTTAAAAAAATGTTTAAAAAAACAAAAAAAACCTAACATTTCATAACATAAATAACACAGGAGAACTTCACAACTGTTACAGATAAGTATAAAAGGAAATCTTATTTGCAGAACACATGTGTCAAGTTGTGTAACTAAAATGTAAACTAAAGTTAACACAATATGCAAATTTCTAATTGCATGTTTATAGCTACAGGATCACACTTGTAGTACAAATCACTGTTTTATTTAGTGACTGTAGTCTTAATTTTTAGAATCTTTTAGTTTTAGAATATTTTAGTTTTAGATTAATTTGTAAGTTAAAAATAATTAAAGAAAGAATATGTCCTATATTCTCTAATTTAAAAAAACAATGTATCTTCTGGTCTGTATTTTTACAAAAAAATATCTTTTGGTTTATACTTCAAAAAAAAAAACAGTTTATTTTCTGTTCTATATTTAGAAAAATATAGTATGTTTTCTGGTCTGTTTTTTTATAAAAATAAAAAACAGAATATAATTTTAGTAAGTAAAAAATAAAAAGTTTTATTTTCAAAACTCAAAAGAAAAAAAAATCTTTAATAATTAAACACTTTTTTGCTTTGATTTTTTTGTTAAGTCAAATTTTAGCTCTTTTTTTTTTAATGTCAGGAATTATGAAAAATCAATTGAACAGGGCATACAAAAAGAACATGGTGATTTTTTTATTTATTTAAAATTTATTAACTTTAATTAAAATATCCTAATGTTGAATTTTTTTTTCTTTGTAACATGTTTATAATATTTTTAAATACTAATGAAAATATGCTTATAATGTTTTTTAAAAACATAACATTAAAAAATTAAAAACTACACTTTTTTTAGAACTTAGATTTTAATTTTTATCTAAAAAACTTTTTAATTTAAAAATGTTTTTAATTTTTTAATTTGTTGGAGGAGCTCTCTCCACCAAGAGAAAAAAGTTGAGGTAGGTCTAAAAATACTTTCTAGAATAACTGTTGAATGCTTAACTATTTATATCTTCTTTTTTTTTATGTGTTGTTGTCAATTTTTATCATTTCCAAAATCCTTGAAAAAACTACCATAGCAAGTTTTTTTTTAAATCTTTTCTTATAATGTATTATTCTCACCTTGGTGAGGAAGGTCACTACATTTGAGGTTACTGATTTTGTTATCCTCACTTTGGTGAGGGAGGTCACTAGATTTGAGGTTACTGATTTTGTTTTACTCACCTTGGTGAGGAAGGTCACTACATTTGAGGTTACTGATTTTGTTATCCTCACCTTGGTGAGGGAGGTCACTAGATTTGAGGTTACTGATTTTGTTATACTCACCTTGGTGAGGAAGGTCACTACATTTGAGGTTACTGATTTTGTTATCCTCACCTTGGTGATGAAGGTCACTACATTTGAGGTTACTGACTTTGTTACTCTCACCTTGGTGAAGGAGGTCACTAGATTTGAGAAGTCTACTGATTTCAAATAAATATAATGTATTATTCTCACCTTGGTGAGGAAGATCACTACATTTGAGGAGGCTACTAATTTCAAATAAATATAATGTATTATCTTCACCTCGGTGAGGGAGATCACTACATTTGAGGAGGCTACTGACTTTGTTATCCTTATCTAGGTAAGGAAGGTCATTTGAGAAGGAGAATACTGGTTTATTTATTTGATTTTTATTTAGCATGGTTGAATTATTTAAATAGCTTGTGAAGTTCACTGCTTATTTGATTCATAGAAGATCTTAATCACTTTGGAATGCATTAAATGAAGATTTATTAATTTAATAAATTAAATTAATTAAATTATGTCAAATTTAGATTCAGAAATCTAACTTTAGTAACATTAAAATTTTTACTATTGTTATTTTTTTTCAAAATACACATAATTTTTTTAGTATTAATAAAAAATTTATTGTTTATACTTATATTTGTTTTACTTTTATTATTTATAATTTTATTAACTATACTTTTATTATTATATTACCAACCTTTCTTGTACCTTATTTGTTATCACTTATTAATTTTATTACCAACCTTTCATGCACCTTATTTGTTATCAATTATTAATTATATTACCAATCTTGTACTTTATTTGTTATCAATTAAGCATTACTTATGCAGTGATTACATCACCTTGTTTATTAATTGTGAGTTATATAGGTTGATCCTCACAACCTTTTTGGAAGTATCGCATCCAACTTGTTTCTCTGTGTAGCAGCCTTATTTGACAAGGTTCATGATTTGTGATTACAATGTAACAGCAATAATACTTGAATAAAATGAGCAGATTCAACTACTCTGTCTTTAAAAAATGTATTATGTAAATAAATAAAAATTTAATTCAAATTGGTTAGCTACTCCCAACTTTATTTATTATGTTAATTGTAAATTAATTTTATGTTAAATTTTAATGCTTTTAGCTTTACTATAAAGTAATTTTAATCTTGAAAAATCTAATTTAAAAGTGTTATTTTTAAATTAGAGCATAAAAAAGTTCTTAGCGAACTTATTGGGAAAGTTTCGATGGCAGAAGAGGTTAGTATATTTTGTGTGTTTCAATGATAAAAGAGGTTAGTATATGGCTTTCCATTAATTTCTGATTAAAAGTTTCTGATTATAAAGTTGTTATTAATGGAAGAAGACTGTTTTTACTTATTTTCTAGAAAAGAAAATTTTTAGAAGATCAGCAGAGAAACAGTGCACATCAAAAAAACTACAATGTTCTCCAAAAAAAATATGAAGTCCTGGTAAGAAAAAACTACTAAGAAACAAAAATTATAAGCCTGAAATATGTTAAGTTTTTAGAAAAAAAAAAAATTGTTTAGAGTCTTAAATATAATGAAATGCGTCAGCTATATGAGGATTCTCTAGTATCTCAACGAGAGTTACTGCGAGTAGTTGAAGAGCTTCGATCAGCATTATTTCATGCAAACCAAGGTATTAATTGATTAAACTGAACTTTAAATTAAATGTAAAAGTGTTTTCATTTATTCACAGTTGATCAATATATGTACTGTTATAACAAAGGTAATGTGTTAATAGTAATTCATGTTGATTTAAGAAGTTTGTGCATTTAAGAATAAATGAAAAACTGTTCTATTTATTCAGGTATTATACAAGAAATTTGAAGTTGAAATAAAAATTAAACAACAGTTTAAAGTTGGCTTAAAAAAACTGTTATTAACTACTGTTTCTTGAAACCTAAAATTTTAAATTTTGTATTGTGTCAATTAGGTAAAACAAGAAATGGCCTGATGCATTTCTTTGTTGTGCATGCATCTGGTATTCTGAAAACAAGCAGCAGTCAAATGTTATAATTTATTAGCATTCAGATTGTTTTTTAATATAATGGGTTGTAGTGAAATCCTATAAATAAAAATAGTTATTTTCTTCTGTTGTTTAAAATAATTAAAATTATTGAATATTTGAAGTTATTTTATTTAAAGTTATTGAATCAACTTTTATTAAATTATTTTTTAAATAAAATTTATGTTTTAGAAAAAACACGTTTAACAAAATTATATGAATCAAAAAACAAAGTCACATTGTAAGTATTTTTTTTTTAATTATTATACAGAGTAGTGCAAAACCTCAGCAAGGTGGCTATAATTAAAAAATGTTCAAAGTATTATAAAATTTTATTATTATTATTATTATTAAATTATTTATTTATAAATAATTTAAAATACATAGGTTTGTTATTTATGTTTATTTATAGGGCTGTTGTTAATGTAATATGGATTTAAAATATGATTAAAAAGGTTTTCTGATAAATATTTATTTTTCCATAAAGCAATTATGTAAAATAGTATTTGCAAATGACTTAATATTCATTGTTTAATATTTTTAAAAATTTCTTGTTTTTTTGTTTTTGTAATAAAATGAAAAATGAAGAAATATAATGCATAAATGAAGAAGAATGGATAGCATTGTAACCCTCGGAATTAGAAAAAATGAAGTCGGCAATAAATTGCTGACCTCAAACACTTTTAGGTCGGCATTGCCAAATGCTGACCCTAATTCCGTGGGTTGGCAATGTGTCTTGCAGTAATCAATTGTTTGATTAAAAAACCCTACAACTAATTAAACTTGCACTTTAAGAAATTGCAACATTTGTATTATTTTTGATTTTCATTGATTCATGAAAGTAAAAAAGATCATTTTAAAATATTTTTTTGTTAACATCATAAGAAGACCTTTGTTTTTAACAGATCTTGTTAATAAAGCTCTTCATTTTCAAGTAATATTTCAGTAGACTTTTCAGTAACTTCTTGATTTATGTTATTTTTAATATGTTTAAATATTTTTTAAGCAAGTCAGCTTTACTAACATTTCTGAACCTCAAATTCAGTTTATTACTGACAAAGTCATAGAAAGTAATACTTGTATCTTTTTTGTAGTGGCTTTGTGAGAAGTGCGTGAAACAAAATATGTACAAAATATTGGATTAAAATAAAAATTTTGTTTCTATGGAGTTAAATAAAAGTTATTTCAAGCATATTTAAAAGCTCATTGTTAAAAACTATTCAATAATCATAATTTGTTTTTGATTTTAAAATGAGTATAAAAACTTAATTGAATTTATGAGTATTATATACAACTGGTAGTATATGAAAATAAAAAAATGTTGTTTCTAGCTCTCTGGTGGTGGTGGAGGTAAAAATTATGAAAAAGACAAAAACTTCAAAATAAAAATTAAGGGTTTGTTTTGGATTTTATTTAAATTTATTTTTATTTATGAAATTTTAAAATCTTTTTGTATTTACAAAACGAATTTATAAACTTTGTAAAGTTTACTGCGAAAAAAAAGTTGTACGTTAAAAGTTTATCATCCATGAATGTATGCATTTTTAACAAGGAATTTGCATAACTTAAACTTAATAAAAATTAGCTTGAGAAAGATATCTTTTAAATAAATAGTGAAATCAAAATTACTAAAAGTTGCATTTTTTTAGCATTTGTTACAGCAACTTTTGAATGTTTTAACAAATCTAAAATCTATTTTAAATCCATGTAGTTTTTTTCTTTTTTTTTTATTCTGATTCACTCCCAACAAGTCTGCAAGCACTATTAAGTTGGGAGTTATTAGAAGAAAAGAATAGAGCTATAGAACAAGGAAAATGTTGACAGAATAATTAAAAAGTTGAAGGTTGCATGAGTCAGGAAAACGTATCTTTGTAATAAAAATGAATAACAAATCTATGTATTTGAAAATAAAATATAAAACAGTATAGTTCAAAAATGATTTTATATTTTAAAAATTTTTTAATTGTGGTTGTTTTTTTTTGAGATTTTTTTCAATCAAGAGAACTCTAGTTTGTTTCAGTGAGATTTTTATTGTTAATGTTAGTAACTATTTACTAATAAGAAAAGTAATAAATCGAAATAAGTTTTATTTTTAAAAAACACTTTTTTTGCATGTTGATAATAAAATTATTTTATTGTTTTTATCCTCCGAATTTAGCTCTCAATTACCAACTGATATCACAATTAGAAGAAACATGCAAAATGATTTTGTAAACGAGTTTGAACCCAATAATAGTTATACAGCAGAAATAAAGCAAGTTGACAACTTTGCTTTAAAAAAACTTGAAGAAGAGGCATTGGTATAAAAATTTTGTTCTAAAAAATTTTAAAGAAAAAGAAAGTTAAGAGCTAAGAGGGGGAGAGAACTGTTCTAAAAGCTTATAATAAGCTTGTTTTAAAAATAGGAAAACTTTTTTTTAATTTTCACATTTTTAGGAACTAGAAAAGACTTACCAACAGTTTTTGGAAAGACAAAAGACTTTTAAAAATAAATCTCCCCACGTACATTTTAATATACCTACTCAATTTCAATCTTCTGGTTCAATGCAAAGTTCGAAACATTCTATTAGTTGGATTAAAGCAACTAACCCTAGTAATTCTTATGTCCCATATCAATTTGAATCATCTAGAATAGAGTGTAGGATCTGTTTTATATATCTAACATTTTTTGTTTAAATAAAACATTGCAATGTTAAATTTTTAGTTGTTTACTGGTTTTTTAGCTATGAAACCATCTTCATATACAATGACAGCTCGTTCCTGTTCACCATCTTCAACACTAGCTGGTAATTACAAAGAATCTACTTCATTTGGCATATCAGAACTGTTAAGCAGAGCAGAAGAGAGGTTCAATTGTGCAATTAAATTAATTAATAAAGTATTTGAACTGACTATTAAGAGCTTATTGTTTATAAGTTATTTATAAAAATTATTGTGTAACAAAATTAATGTTAATACATATAATTATAGTTGATATATTTTATGTGCACAATATTTTGATCTATTTTTTTTTTATTTAATTAGCAAATTATAATAAATGAACAGTAAACATGATTTTTTTTAAAGTAGATTAGATGTCAATCCACTGGCATATGGAAACAGTAAAACATTGCAGCCAGCAGATTCATCTGTTTTAACTTACCGAACTCCACCACAGTTTAAAGATACAGTGTCTTTAACACAATTTTCTTTGTCTGAAACTCAAAATTTTAAAACTTTGACACAATATCAATTGACAGATTCTGATGTAAGAAAGTCTCCCCATGAAGATCTAGTTTTTACAAAACCTGTCATAAGCAGACTTGATACATTAACAGAGCAAAGTATAAATATTGAAGATGGCGAAGGTAACAAAGTATATGAAGCAACACACAGTAACATAACAAGACAAGAAGAATTATATCTAAACAAAGAACTTGCTGAAGATGAAGATTTATTACAAGAAACATCTATAGCAACCTTTGAGAGTCCAATTAAATTACTAACAAAAGCAGACATGCATACATTTAGTACAAGTAAATCCCCACATGAACAATCAATAAATGAACCAATCAAAACAGACATGCATATATTTAGTACAAATAAATCACATGACAAACAGTCTTCTGAGAGCAAATCTCATGACTTAAGCAGTAGATTGTCAAAATCATTGAGCGTTCAAGAATTACGTGTAACAGATTTGTCATCTAAAAATGTGGCAAGTGAAGCTAAAGAGAATGAACCAATCAAAAATAATGTTATGGCTGAATACATGGAGATGCTTTTACAGAATCATGTCGATGAACTAACAAAAAAAGATGGTCAGTCAGGAAACAAAATACAATTAAATGAAGAACTTAACTATCATGTAAGATATTAATTAATTATTTTTTTTAATTTTTTTATACACAAAGAAAAGTTTATAATTTTATACACAAAATGAAAACACATACTTTTTTTATACACAAAGAAAAGTTATATAATTTTACACACAAAAATGAAGAGACAGAAATTCTTTGTATAACATAAGTAAAAATTTTAACTGATGCAACAAATAAATGTCTTAAAATGGAGCCAATTTTAAAATTTACATAAAAAGATGGTGAAACGTAAAGAATAAAAAATATTATGAAAAAGCATTGCCAATATGTTGAAATAGTATTGGGATTTTATCTAAAAATAAGTTAAATTCTTAATTCAAAGTCAGTTTTGATATTTTACATTGTTCAGTTATAAAATTTTTGATTAAAAGAAGAACCAAGAGCTTTTCATGTACAAAGAAGAAGAAGTAAGAGCTTTTCATGTATAACTACCGTAGTATAACTACATGTATTAACACTGTAACTACAGTGTTACTTATACTTTTCATGTATAACAGTGTTACTGTGATCCATAATGAATTTTTTGTTGTTGAAATTTAACAAATTGCTGGGCCATAATTTTATATCTTTTTTTTTTTTTAATTCGGGATCAATCATATTTTTTCTCCATTTTTATTTATTTCTTTTTTTTTCAGCTGTCCGATCACGAAAAAAGTTCATTTCCAAATTCTTTAAAAGACACTGGTGACGACAGAAGGTAACTTAAGTTTTTTAGATTTGTTCTAAAAGCTTTTTTTTTAATAATATTATTTATTTTTTCTTAATTTTAATGCAAAAAGTATTTCATCTGGATCGTTTAAATGGTAAATCGAACATATTTTACGATAAAGTTGATGAAAAAATTACTATAATTTAATTTTTTTGTATTTATTTAAATCATTAATAAATTCTTCATTTAATAATTGTGTATTCAATATAATTGTATGTTAGTTTTTATTGTCACGCGCACACACTCATAACATATAAAAACAACATTGGGATATATATCGAAAAAAGTAGCGCAAAAAATAATGTGGAAATCAAATTGGCGTTTTGTCATGACGAAAAAATTCGCTTCGCGCGATTTATTTCGTCATGTGGAAAATGCCCTTTAGAGTGTCAGTGCAAACCCCAAGTTGCTACAGAATAGAAATTACATCCATAATTAGATGCTTATTTTAACGATTAAAAACTTATGAATTGTTATCGAGTTAGAAATATATGGTTGTCAACTAATACAATATAAAAAAGAGTTGCAATACCCCATATCTCATAAGATTTTTAAATGCGAAAAAATGCAGTTTTCATAATTTTTTTTTTAGTAGATATTCTTGATCAATTTTATTCTATGCGTTATCCTCATTTTAACAATTTTAAGTTTGGGTACGACACGAACGTAGCTGTAGAGAGTTATAGTTAGGGCAAACTGACCAAAATCTGGCCACTTCTTACTTATTTGTTTTAAATATAAATTCGCATAGCGTAATATAAACAAAACAATTTTCATTTTAATAGGATATTCAAAGATGAATATAATTACAAATTTTTTTTTTTTAATTAGGCTAGACAAGCATGCTTAAGCACCAATATTTTAGACGTACGCTAAAAGACCTATTTCTGGCCACTTGGATATAATTCTGGCCGGTTCTTACCTAATTCTGGCCATCGGCCATATTAAGGCATAATATAGAAATAAAAGACCGAAACTAAGCTTGTTTACTTATTACAAGTTTAGTCAGGTATACTAAGTAGAACATAGCAATAACTAGGATATTAAAAGATCAATATTCAAGTTAAAGACAATAAACAAAATAAAAACGAATAATTAAAACAAAATAAAGCAAAATAAAAACGAATAATGATTAAAAAGAAAATGTTTATCTTCATTTCTTTTGCAGTT